ACGCACTCACCACACAGGTCTCACCTAACTCAGCTCCCAGACTGTGAACTGAGGACAGGGACCAGGTCTTCCCCTGAACAGAACCCAGACCTTCGGACACACATTCTACAAAAGAGCCCATCTTCCTAGTAGGTCCGACCTGATGGTTGGTATAATTGTTGTTCCTTATGCTAATGCTGGGGTGGGAGGGGCCAGGAAAGGAAGAGATTTGAGGGGGAGGGAATCTCAAGGTAGGACACTTACTGGAAGCCAAACACAGGGCCAGGCATTTACATCATTATATCTTAGGTTCTGACCTCTCCATAAGGCAGGCAATGTACCCATTTTACAAGGAAGAAACTGAAGCTCACCAAGATTGAATCATTTAAGATCACATCAAAGCTTGGATTCAGTCTGACTCCAAAAACCTGCATCCTTTCCAGATGCTGCGACAGTGTGATTTGATTTCACTTTGTAACCCAATGGCTTATTTGTTGAACAAATAAATGGGATAAACAGTCCATTTTAATTAGGAAATTAGGTCAATAAATATATTTTCCTGAGACTCACTTTCAGGCCAAAATTCTCATATTTCCTGCTTCTCAAAGCTTATTTTCATCTACGTTATCAAGAGAATGTGCTAGTGTGTCTGCATGTAGCTGGGCATGTGTGCGTCACATGTGCTGTGTTTACAGGGGTTGGAGGGCCTGCAGCTGGCCATCCAGGCCGAGGGAGGCCTGGACCCTACCTCCCGCCCTGCCTTCCCTCCAAAGGCTGCGTCCGAGGCCGTCCTCTGGGGAAGCTGTTCACCGGTTGGGCCTCCTCCCCTCCCCTTTCTGAGGTTTTGAGAACTGGTGACTTCCCTTGCTGTCAGCTGGCAAGGCTCTGGGCAGTGACCAGCTTCCCCCAGTAACAAAGGGAGACGGATTTGATTGGTTCAGAAGCATCCTCTTAACCAATAAAGTGTCAATACGTTGAATTCTACTTTCTTTCCCCCACAAGCCCTGGACGATGAGATGCTGGTTTTGTCACTTACTATCAATCTTGTGTTTTAGAAAACACAATGCTGTAATGCCATATGGAGATTGAGAAATGGGGCTGAGATGGGGTGGGTGTGGAATGAGTGGCCCGTCCCACAGCCCCCTAGAAACTGGCTCCCCACCTCCCACAGAGGGAGTGGCTGGACAACTCCCAGACTCTCTGCTCGAACCACAGAGACCCAGGGGCAGGAAGCGTAAGGAACGGCCCAGTTATTGCTCCAGCCTCAAGCACAGGACCACTCGCCTCCGCCGTGCGTGTCTGACCGCCCATGGCCTTCTCCCCGCACAGGCCTCCCTGCGCAGCAGCCCCGCCTCCCTCTCCAGCGCATCCTGTCCCTTTTCCCTCGGACCCCATGCTTGTCTCACCGCCTCTGGGCCTCCTGCTACCCCGGTTGGCCTCCAGTTCGGCCCTTGAAGGCAATGTCCGGAGCCTGGGGAGATGGGCTCGCTTGGCTCTTGTAGGCAGGCAAGCACTGCCCACCCCTAGCAAGACGGAGCTGGACCCTGACTTCAGGGTACGAGGCTGAGTCCACAGTCTGGGTCTGGGAAGGGAGGTGGGGGTGAGCCCTCTGGGAGGGTCAGGTCTTCCTGGGTCTAAGGGCCAGCTGCCCATTGCGTCTCCTCTCTCCTCCCACCGACCACAGAGGCAGCCAGGGCTCGGCCCTTTCTGGGAAAAACTTCTTTGTGCCAGTCAGAGCCCTACTTCCTGGTACAGTCACACAGGACGGTGATTTCCAAAGAGTGAACGGCCCTGCGTAGTAAGAGCCGTCAGGGTTCCCGGTGCTGACGTCAGGGTTCCCGGTGTTCAGGGCCGGGCCTGACTCACCCGCCCCCCCCCCCCCCCCCCCGTCCCAGCGAGCTGGCTCCTCTGCACGGCTCCGGGCTCCGGGCTCCGGGCTCCGGGCTCCGGGCTCCTCCTCGCGGAGCCTAGTCCTCAGCCTCCCGGAAGCAGTGAGCGCCTCAGTCAGGGCTCAGGTCTGGGGGCTGGCGGGTGGTCTAGCCTCGCTACCTGGATGGAACAGCTGAGGTCTCGCTGGCCGTGGCCCACCGCAGGGAAGGGGCCAAGCCCAGCAGTGGGATCCCGTGTCCTGGAAGGAAGAGGGGGCGTGGCGCTGTTCCCATGGGGACACGAAGGTGGCCTAAGGCACAGGCACTGAGGCACAGCCTGGGACACACCTGGGTCAGCCCCGCCCCCTGGGGAGCGCAGCACACACAGCCCCCCACCCCCGCAGCCGCCGAGCCAGCTCCCCAGCTGCTATGGCCTTACCTCTGCCACCCCCACCTCAGGGCCTCCTCCCACCTCCTCATCGAGCCCCTGCCCCTCCCTAGCAGTGCTGCAGCTGCCACGCAAGATTCCAATTTCTTGCAGGGTCTACCCTAGCCCTTTCCCAACCCGTTGCTGCCGGGACACACACAGGAGCGCGAGTCGCCCGCTCAGAAGCACCCTCTGCCAGCGGAGGGAGTGTGGCCTCAGGCCTCCTGCCTGCCCCCCCGCCAAACCGCCGCCATTCTTCAATTCCGTGCTGGCCTGACGTCTTCCACGCGGCTGGGCGGACACTGGCTGATTCGGGGACCCCGTCTCAGCAGTCATCACGGTAACCTCGCGCCGGGGTACCGCCTTCGCTTTGGGAAAGCTGCAACTCGGGTCCTAGAGCCGCGCGGGAACCGTGCAATGAGCTCCCCCGCACACACCGCAACACGAGCTCAGCGTCGGGAGTTCCCGGCTCTAACCTGACGAACCGCCCCCCAAAGCCAGGCCCAGCTCCTGCTCCCACACGCTTTCTGCCGCCGCAGCCGCCGCGGCCCCCAACGAGCCCCGCTGCTGAGCGCTTGTTTTTGTCCAAGTCGCTGTTCTTGGGATCTTTGCACCGTCACGTAGTTACTTATTGTGCTGGGAGCCAAGTGTTTATTTTCTCACGTGATGGGAGCCTGCAGAGATGGGGGACAGGCGCTCAGAACCAGGACAGGGTTCCGCCAAGCAGAGGCACTGAGCGAGGCTCGTGGCCACCTTCCAGCGCCTGGCAGGCCCCATGGGCGGCGGAGACAGGCAGGTGAGTGCGGTGGCACTGCGTTCCCTGGGCAGATGCCGGTTGTTTATTCGTGTTGCTCCCGCCCCCGCCACAGCCCTCCAGGAGGGATTGCCATTGGCAACTGGGGAAGCGGCTGCCGGCGATTGGAGCCAGGGTGCAGCCCATTCCCAGGGGGCACATAAATAACAGAATTCCGTTTACATTTAAACCATGGCGACCCGACTCCCGGGGACCTGCCGCCCTGCGTCCTCCTTCCCAGAAAACAGCTCTCGGGAGAGGAAGGCAGGGCAGGCTGCACCTCACGCGCAGACACGTGCACATCTTCACACACACACACACACACACATCTTCACACACACGCACATCTTCACACACACACACACACACACACATCTTCACACACACGCACGCACATCTTCACACACACGCACATCTTCACACACACACACGCACATCTTCACACACACACACACGCACATCTTCACACACACACACACGCACATCTTCACACACACGCACGCACATCTTCACACACACACGCACACACGCACATCTTCACACACACACGCACATCTTCACACACACGCACGCACATCTTCACACACACACACACACACACATCTTCACACACACACACATATCTTCACACACACGCACGCACATCTTCACACACACACGCACACACGCACATCTTCACACACACACACGCACATCTTCACACACACACACACACACACATCTTCACACACACGCACGCACATCTTCACACACACACGCACACACGCACATCTTCACACACACACGCACATCTTCACACACACGCACATCTTCACACACACGCACATCTTCACACACACACGCACATCTTCACACACACGCACATCTTCACACACGCACGCACACCTTCACACACGCACGCACACCTTCACACACGCACGCACATCTTCACACACGCACGCACATCTTCACACACGCACGCACACCTTCACACACGCACGCACATCTTCACACACACACGCACATCTTCACACACACGCACATCTTCACACACACACGCACACCTTCACACACGCACGCACACCTTCACACACACGCACACCTTCACACACACACGCACATCTTCACACACACGCACATCTTCACACACACACGCACATCTTCACACACGCACGCACACCTTCACACACACACGCACACCTTCACACACACGCACACCTTCACACACACGCACACCTTCACACACACCCACGCACATCTTCACACCCACGCACATCTTCACACACACGCACATCTTCACACACGCACGCACACCTTCACACACGCACGCACATCTTCACACACACACGCACATCTTCACACACACGCACATCTTCACACACACACGCACATCTTCACACACGCACGCACACCTTCACACACACGCACACCTTCACACACACACGCACATCTTCACACACGCACGCACACCTTCACACACACGCACACCTTCACACACACACGCACATCTTCACACACGCACGCACATCTTCACACACGCACGCACATCTTCACACACGCACGCACACCTTCACACACACACGCACACCTTCACACACACACGCACATCTTCACACACGCACGCACATCTTCACACACACACGCACATCTTCACACACGCACGCACACCTTCACACACACACGCACACCTTCACACACACGCACACCTTCACACACACGCACACCTTCACACACACCCACGCACATCTTCACACACACGCACATCTTCACACACACGCACATCTTCACACACGCACGCACACCTTCACACACACACGCACACCTTCACACACACACACGCACACCTTCACACACACGCACACCTTCACACACACCCACGCACATCTTCACACACACGCACATCTTCACACACACGCACATCTTCACACACGCACGCACACCTTCACACACACACGCACACCTTCACACACACACACGCACACCTTCACACACACGCACACCTTCACACACACGCGCACCTTCACACACACGCACATCTTCACACACACACGCGCGCGCACGCACACACACAGGACACTGGGCTCATCACCCCACCCCAGATTTGCTGGCCAGAATGAGGCCACGAGGGGCAGAGGTCAGTTTCCCCAGAGCCCCTTCCTGGTGCTAATAAGTGAATAAATACTAAATAAATACAACAGGGCCACCCTGCCGCCTCCGCCTCCTATGACCAGCAGGGCAGAGGGCAGTTTAGACCGGACTGTCTCCCAGCCCTTGCACCCAGGTGGCTGCCTCCAGGGCAGGAGCAGGCAGGGCCGGCCTGCGCATCCTTGTTGGGGGGTGCGCCCTCCCCACGGTGTCCAGCACGAGGCTCCTTCGAAGCCCCCTCTCCCAGCTCAGTCTGGCGGCGCCAGGGCGCCGGGACGGTGAGGCTATTTCTTGCCGGTCCAGGGGCGCCTCCGCAGCACCTCCAGGATCTGCGCCTTTCGGTGCAGCCAGTCCCGGGGAGCAGGCTGCAGTGGAGGGGCCGGCAGGGGCACGAAGAAACTGTACCGGACGCGGGCATTCTGGGGGTCACCGGCCACCAGGACCTGCAGCATTAAGGGCTGGGCCAGGGGCCCGTGTCCGGCCAGCGTCTCGGCGGCTGCTGTGGCCCCGCTGTAGCGCAGGCTGACGGCCCCCGGCAGCACCACGTCGGTGGAGGAGGGCGTTAGCGTGTATTCACCATTGAGGGCATAGGAGCCATTGGCGAGTCTCAGGGCCAGGTAGAGGCTCCGCACACCTGGGGGCTCCTGCTGCCGCACCAGGAGGTGGGTGGCCCCCGCCGGTATAGTGACCACACTGTTGTAGCCATACCTGTGTGGAAGGAGCAAAGGTGAGCTCAGCATCTTCCTGAACCCCTCAGCCCTCTCAGCTTTGTGTGTGTGTGCATCTCTGTGTGCCTGACACGTGTGTGCGTGCATGTGTGAGAGCACATGAGTTAACACTGGCAAGTGTGATGTGTGCCTCTATATGAGTGTGTTCATGTGTGCGTGTGCATGTGTTGAGTGTGGGTGTACATGAGTGTGTGTGTGTGTGTGTGTGTGTGTGTGTAGAGGGCTGTCTTCTTAGACATATGGGCGGTATCCAGCCTGGATCCCAGTACCTGCCAACGTGCCTCCACCCTCTGACCTCCGGACTGTCCACCGGCTGTCCCCTCGCTGAGGGGCCCTTCGAAGCCTGACCTCCATGGTGCCTGTTCAGATCCTACTGTCCCCCCAGGAGGGAGGCCGCCTCCTGGGGAGCCTGTTGAGCAGGTGGGACACTGCTACCTGCTTGCTCATCCCTCTCCCTCACTAGACTCTCAGAGGAGAGACAGTGCTGCGCTCCCCTCTTCCCCCCAGGCCCTGAGGAGTGTCCAGGAAGGTGGAAGGAGGAAATAAATAGTGGATGAACCTGAACTTTCTGAAGGAGCCAGACTGCTTGCTGCAGCCAGAACCGTCCCCGCCGCACACCATGCATTTATCGAATTTCTTTTTGGAGCCAATGACGCGGTCACAGCCGGCATGGATGCAGCGGCCTTGAACACAGACCGAGGTGCTGTCTGGGGAGCAGGGAGTCCCGTCTACCACCTGAGGAGAAGAAAAGGAGGGATGCAAAGGGTCCTTCCCACATCCAGAGGGGCTGGTAACCAAACGAGACCCACATCCCATGAGAGAGGGGCTGTGGATGGAGGGGGGGGGGACCCAGAATGACGCTGCTGAGGGCCTCTCTGCATCAGGCTCTGCGCTCAGTGCTTTATAAACATACCTTCCTGACGGTTCTAGAGCTGGAACACTGAGGCTCAAGATTAGGAACTTGCCCAAAGGCTGCGTGCTGGCAGCCGGTGGAGAACCACGATGGGAAACGCAGGACTAAGTCCCAACCCCAAGCCCTAAACCTTGAGGGCACCGTCCCAGGCAGCCGCTAGAGGGCAGCCAGCCTGTAGGAATTCTCCGGCGCGGGGCGGCGCGCCCGCTGGGGGTCGCTTCCTTCCGCCCTGGCTCCAGCCGCGGCCCTATCACAGAGGAGTGCCCCTATCAATCACAGAGGAGTGCCCCTATCAATCACAGAGGAGTGCCCCTATCAATCACAGAGGAGTGCCCCTATCACAGAGGATGCCCCTATCACAGAGGAGTGCCCCTATCACAGAGGAGTGCCCCTATCAATCACAGAGGAGTGCCCCTATCAATCACAGAGGAGTGCCCCTATCGCAGAGGAGTGCCCCTATCAATCACAGAGGAGTGCCCCTATCAATCACAGAGGAGTGCCCCTATCGCAGAGGAGTGCCCCTATCGCAGAGGAGTGCCCCTATCAATCACAGAGGAGTGCCCCTATCAATCACAGAGGAGTGCCCCTATCAATCACAGAGGAGTGCCCCTATCACAGAGGATGCCCCTATCACAGAGGAGTGCCCCTATCAATCACAGAGGAGTGCCCCTATCGCAGAGGATGCCCCTATCGCAGAGGATGCCCCTATCGCAGAGGAGTGCGGGCACCACTGTCTCCCGGAGGCCTGGCCGCCGAGAGCTGACGCAGCACCGCTGGGATTTGGCGGAGGAGCCCATGGGAAAGGGTCAGAGCCTTGCCCCAAGGCCACATACTGGCCTTCTTTCTGCCCGAGCAGGGAACAGGGGCAGGGGAGGAGCCAAGGGAGAGGGCAGGCCACACTGCCGATGGGCCCCTTGTCCAGAGCTGGGGCTTGTTTTCCAAATACCATGAGCAGATAGGCCCGGGAGCCTGGCTGCCAGCCTGGCCGTGGGACAGCGCAGGGGGCTGCGCCTGCAGAAGGCAGAGGGGGGTGGGAGTGTGGGCACAGACAGGGCGGGCGGCCGGCTCACCCGCGGCTCCAGCACGTAGTAGTAGCCCAGGGCCCGCGCCTGGCAGGTGAGCTTGCACCGGTCGCGGGCAGCCACGCCCGCGTAGCGAGGGACCCAGTCCATGGGCCCTGGGAAGCTCTTGAAGAGGTCGGGGCGGTGGTTGTAGGCCGCGCACTGCTCTTCACGGAAGGTCAGTGCTGTCGGGGCGACAGGCACAGTCAGGGCCTTGCCCCCCACCCCCCAGCAGCCCCAGCCCCTGGCCCCTCAGCTCCCCCAGCCGGCACCTCGCTGCCGGGAGGGCAGGTCCTGAGGGGTAAACGCTGCCTCCCCGGCAGGGACATCAGCACTTCCTTGGTTCCCGAAGCGCTCCCGCCCGCACCCGGTCCTTCGGGTCCTCACCTGAGCCCGCGGGGCAGTCCTGGGAGCTGCAGGAGCGGAAGCGGGTGCGGCGGCCCTCGCAGTACTTGCCGCCGTTCCGGGGGACGGGCTGCGTGCAGTCCCGGGAGGAGTACTGGACGCCGCCCCCGCAGCTCCGAGAGCAGCCGCCCCAGGACCCCCAGGGACCCCAGCCGCCGGCCTGTGGGACCTGCAGCCGCACAGAAGAGAAGGTGGTAACTGTGCTCCCTCCTGGGCACCAGGCCACCCCTGCCCCAGGCCTCTGCCCCTGCCTGCTGCCTCACCTTGAAGTCCTGGAGTTGGTCCACATGGAGGCAGCGGCCACCCATGCAGGCCTGTGCGGGCCCACACGGGGTGCCGTCGGCCCAGGGCGAGTGCTTGGTCTGGCACATGGCGTGACCGTTGAGATGGCCAGAGCACCAGAGGGCAGCACAGGGCGGCGGCAGCTGTGGACAGTGGTGCGAGTCAGGCCCGAAGGTCAGCTGGCACTGGCGGTCGGCGTCATAGTCTTTGCCAGGGAAAGTCACAGGCAGGTGCAGGGGAGCCTCCGGCTTGTCTAAGAGACAGTGCCCTGGGAGGGCAGGACCCGGGCTCAGAGGTGGGCTCAGGCCCTCGAGATGGCCACCGAGGGCTTGGGCTCCTGGGCCCAAGGCTCTGGGACCCACATCCCAGGCGTGCACGAAGCTGTAAACAGCTGGCTGCTTCCTGCGTGAGGAGCGCCGGCTCACTGCTTGTCCAACCACCTCATTCCATCCCGGCCAACAACACCTACGAGCTGTTGCCATCACCAGGCCTGTCTCACAGGTCAGCACAGAGGCAACATGCCTTTCAGCACACATCCCACATCTAGGGAACAGAGCAGGACACGACCCAGCCACACCTCCTGCCTCCCCGACCAGCCACAGAGCTGCTGAGTCCGCGTCCCACCAACAGCCCTGCCCACGGACGCCCACCCTGCTGGGCTTGCACAGCTCAGTGACAAGGCAGCTGCCTTCACTGCAGCTCATCCCAGTGTTGGACAGCTCTGGCCCTTAGAAGGCCAGTCTAGTTCAATTGAAAATGTGCCACCCCTGGCAGCATCTCTCACCCCGTCCCATGCTGCAGTGGGAGCCCACTCAGCCCACGCAGAAGGAGGCAGAAGAGCACAGTGGGTGCAGGGCTGCATCGCGCCAGGGAACAGGCGGGAGGGCTGCCTACCGTAGCCATTGTCCAGGAAGTCCGTGATGAAGCGGGCGCTGCAGGGGGACCAGGGCTCCTCAGGATCCACGTGAGCCATTACGGGAGCCATGACATGGTGGGAGGTGCTCCGAGGCCCGTTCAGGCCCACACATGGCTTTGAGTTGTCATGGAGCATGTTGAAGACATGGCCTGTGAGAGCAGAGGGCCTGCTGGAGTCAGGGGTCCCCTCCCTGGCAGCCTCACAAATGTGGCTGCAGCTGTGGATGGTCCTGCCTGTCCCCAATCCCCTCTGATGCTCTGAGGGCTGCTCAATATATAGCCCCCCCAGAGCTCTGCTTCCCCTTCCCCCCAAAATATGCTCAGGGTCCTTCCTTACCTACTTTCTCTTGTAACCAACACTCCCAACCCTTTACCCACCATTCCCTCCCCAGCTCTCCTGAATAATACCTCTTTCAATACTGTGCTATCTCCCCATACACATGAACACACTCACTCACACCCCCACACATGCCTGTCTTCTGCCACACACACACATTCACATACTCACCCACACAGTAATAGGTTTTCACATACACTACACACTCACACGCATGCATACATATACACACTCTCACACACATGCATATACTCACACGCATGCATATACTCGCGCACACACACACACACACACACACACACACACACACACAGTTACAGAGGCTTCCACATGCTAGCTCACTTAATAGAAAACCTAAGTGTGTGTCTACACCCAGAGAGAAGGGGATGGCCCTGGACCTAGGCCCGGAGGGAGGAAGAAGCACCTTGACCCCATCTGCACGCTGGTGAGCTCATTGTCCCCGCGCCTCACCCCTGCCGCCTCTCACGCATCCCAGACACCACAGTCCGCCCACCCCGTACCCAGTTCGTGAGCGGCAGTGAAGGCCGACTGGAGCCCGTCGTCCTCCACGATTGCGCAGCTCCGAGCCGGGTCACACACGGTCCCCACGTCGGCCATGCCCAGGGTGTCACAGGTGGAGACCCCACACAGGTCCTGTGGAGGTCGCAGAAGATGCATGAGGACTCGGCACGGGGTCCCCTGGGCTGCCACCCAGACTACGGGGCTCGGGCAGGTGCCGTTCCCATGGTGCCGACGGGCCTACCTGACGGGTAAACAGAATGGCTGTGTCAAAGTGATCCGGGTCCGAGTCCTCGGGCGTGTTGAGCCCTCGCTGCCAAGCACAGAAGTGGTGCAGGGTTTGGGCAGCACTGGGCCCCACTGGGGGCCCTTCCTGGCCCGGGCCCAGAACCACCAGCCGCGTCACCACCAGGCTGACGGGGTTGCGGATGCTTGGGTGCTTGAAGGCCTTGGCCGCGGCGGCCATGACCGTGAGCAGGTAGCGCTTCAGCCCTGCGCCATGAAACGCTGCCATCGTGTCGTCCGCCACCACCAGGGTCTCCACAAATCTACTCAGGGAAGCAAAGCGCTGGGAGAGAGAGGAGAGGAGGCCTCAAATAGCTGCCCAGCCACAGGCCCGGCCACTTTCCTTCCAGCGCTTCCCGGTCTGGAACTGGGCAGAGCAGGCTGGTCCCACACACCACACCCACCAGGTGCCCAGGCTGGCTGGGTCCCTCCCCCAGCCCCAAATCCCAGAGCTTTTGTGTGAACTCTGAGAAATCAGCTGTTGGTTCAGAGATAGAGAGGAGGGGGCGCCGTGTCCCAGGGCTGCCTGGTCCCCAGTGGTGAAAAGCAGCTGGGACTGCTTCTGGGAGGGGCTTTGGGCGCCCCCAGGCCTGACTGTGGCCAGGCCTGCAGTGCTGGGCTGCAACGTGTCTGCCCTGTGTGGTTGGAGGAACAATTCAGTCAGCAGCCGGGGCTGGGGCCAGATCTCAGCGTGGCGGGTGTGGAGGGAGCGTCTGGACTGGATTAAAGCTGGAGAGGGAAGGAGGCGGGAGGAAGGGGAGCCCGGAGTGGGAAGGAGGGAGGAGGGAGCCTCGCAGCCTTGCAGGCCAGGACGCAGTGTGGAGTGCCTCTCCTCCGTCCACTCCTGCCCTAGTTTGCAGTTTGCCAGGACAATTTGGAAGGCAGTATAGGAAGCCAGAAGCCAACTGCCTGGGCCTCAACTCTCACTCCTTTAGCTTGTGTGGTGGTGGGGGGGGTTTGGGGCACAGGAAAGAGTCAAGGCCAAGAGAGTGAGCAGAGACTTCCACCTGGGCCCGAGCAGCAGGGTGCCAGGCCGGGCTGGGTGGGGAGAGGGGGGTCATTCCCAGCACAGAGCCTCCCACTCACCTCCTGGGACCCTGCTGGGATCAGGGTGAGGGCAGGGAGCAGCCAGCACCTGCCCGAGAAGGCTCATGGGAGGAGAAAAGCAGGCCACACGAGGGAAGAAGCAGAATGACCAGAAGTGGAAGTGGGCGGGGCGAGGGGACACGGGTCAGGGGGCAGGTAAGGCAGGAGGGGCTGCAGGGCTCTGGGTGGCCTACCTTGGCTCTTCGGGGGCTGGGCTTGGGGTTCTTGGGAGGCGCCTTGACGCTGCACATGGGGCCCTGGCCGCTGGCAGGGCTCTTCCGGCGTAGGACGTGAGCCCCAGGACCCCCAGCAGAATTAGGGACGCCTCCCTCCAGGGGCTGGATGTGGAGCTCGGTCCCCCGATACTGCAGCACCCCTAACAGAGCTCCCTCGTCCCAGTGCAGAGATGCCACCGACTCCGGATCTCCGTTGATGGTGCCGGTGAGGAACGTGCCCGGCTCCGCCCCACCCAGCAGCTCCGGCGCCCGGCCCAGGTACTGCACCGTCAGCCCCTCCACCCGCACGCCCGGGTCTTGCTCCAGCTCCAACAGCAGCATCTCCCCAAAGGCGGGCAAGCGGTACCACAGCCTGGCCGGGGCGCCCAAGCCAGGCAGGACGCTGCCGTTGAGCTTCTCTGGAAACACGATCTCCTCCTCCTGGGGGAGGGGGCTGGCTGGCCTGGCTGAGGGCAGGAGGGAGGCCAGCAGCAGGAGCAGGGTGGGGAGCAGACGGGAGGGGGCTCCCCACAGCCAGCAGCCGGCCCAGCCCCCCTTGGAGTGCGGGTCCGTCGGGGACATGGCGGGTGCTGGAGCTGTAAGGACTGACGCCGGCGGCACGCTCCCTTCACGCCCGCCTGTGGAAAGCTCCCCTCGGCAGCCTTGGCTCGGCCAGTGCCAGGGTCAGACAGCGTTTCAGGGGGCTGGGGACCTTCAGGCGAGGTGGAGAGAGCGTGGCCCTAGGCTTGAGCAGGGTGCCTCGTGGCCAGTCCTGCAAACCCTCTCCTGGGAACAGCCTCTCCCGGCCTCTGGCTGCCCAGACCCTGCTTCCCGCGTGCCTGGGTCTGTCTCTCTCCTGCCCTCTCTCCCGGTCTCTGTGCCTCTGGGTCTCCCTGAGGTTCCTAGCAGACTCTCCCCGCCAGCTCTTTTAAGTCTCCCCAGTCTCTGTGATTGGCTGAGCTGTAAGCCATTCAGCCAGCAGCTCTGATGGTGGGACTCAGATGGTGTCTCATTCTTTCCCAAAAACCCTAGTTTTTGTTTTCCTTTAAAGAAAAATGGGACTTGCCCAGGGGAGGGGGATCCCTAGCAGCCGGATGGGGGATGGGTCACAGGCCCTGGGCCAGCTGATGACATCGTCTTTCCCCAAACCCAACAGCCAGCTCTCAGCTGTCTCTTCCCTATTTGGTGGACAGAGCCCCAAGGGGCTAGGAAGTCAGGGCAAGGCCTGACTGACGCACAGAAAGGGCCTAGGTCCCAGGGGGTCTGGCTCCCTTTTCTCAGGGTCCCCCAGCTGCCCTTTGCCCTAGAGCCGGTTTCCAGGGCTGAGCAGCCTGAGTGAACTGCCCAGAAAGAGGGTGGGAAACAGGGAAGGAAGCATCAAGAGGTGAGCAAAGAGAGGAGGCGGCTGACACTGAGGCAGGACCCAGCGGCTGGAGTGCAGAAGGCACACAGCCACCAGGGGATTCACTGCCCAGAGGTAGGATGAGTCTGCTTAGCATGGGCACATGGAGGGGGAGAGGGCAAGGCAGGAAGGCTACCACTTTTCCTTTTATAGAAGGAGGACCCAGGGTGCCACCTCCTCTTCTCTGACGTCCCTTCTCTCCTGCAGGCTCTCCCTTCCGGAGTTACCACTTCCCACCCCCTCCAAGGCCATTCCCCTCAGGCCCCCCTCCCCACTTCCTGACTCCCCACTCCCTGGCCTGGCTCCCAGTAGCTTCCCCCAGGCTTTTGGCCTCACTCCCACCCACTCCCAACTGCCCTCAACTCTCCCCAGCCCCCAGGCAGCCACCAGCGTGGGAGACTGGCCGGCCCATCGCCTGGCTCCCTCTCCTGGCCCCACCTTGCCCAGCACCCAGTGGGTCCTGGGACATCCAGTCATCATTTATTTTATTTGTTTGTTCATCCTCGCCGAGAACTTTTCCATTGATTTTTTATTTTATTTATTTTTAATATATTTTTATTGATTTCAGAGAGGAAGGAAGAGGGAGAGAAACATCCATGATGAGAAAATCATGGATCAAGCCCACAACCCGGGCATGTGCCTTTGACCGGAATCGAACCTGGGACCTTCCAGTTCGCAGGCCACGCTCTATGCACGGAGCCACACCGGCGAGGAGTCCATTGACTCTTTAGAGCGAGTGGAAGGGATGGGGAGACAGAAACATGATGTGAGAGACAGATCCACTGTGGCCTCCCACACGGAATCAAACCGGCTAGGGCTTTTATTTTTTAAAGTTTTTAAAAAATATATGTTTCTATTGATTTCAGAGAGAAAGGGAGCGGGAGAGGAGCAGCCATGATGAGCATCACCTACGCCGTGGGCTGGCTGCCTCCTGCAACCCCGACGCGACCTGGGTCCCGGCTGACGCTCAGCCTGAGCTCGGCCCGCAACGTCCCGGCTCCTTCCCTTCCGGTTCCTGCGGGCGGGCCCGCTGTGCGTTCACCGGAGCTGGGGCCGCGGGAGCCCGGGCTGGGCCAGAACCCGCGGGCTCGCTCCTCCTGCGCCCGTCTCCCCAGGATTTCCCCAGGAAGCGGGGTGCAGCCCGGCCCTGCCCTGCCCCGGAGAGGGCCCTCCCCTCCCGCCCGCACGTCCTCCCTTCCTTCCTGTTCAGGTGGCGACTACCTGCCCTGCGGCCTGGGCTTCCGCTCGGCCCGGCCCCCCGCCCCCCCCCCCCCCCCCGGACCTGAGCGGAGGGGCTCCGAGGCTGGGAGACGGCGGGGCCGGGGCCGGACGCGCCAGCACCAGAGGCCGCACGGCCCTCGCCGCCCCCATTCCGAGACGAGGACAAAGGGGGTGACTAAGCGGCGAGACAAAGGGCCTCAGAGTCGCCGCGGGGAGGGGGGGAGGCGGCAGGGAGACGCACAAAAGCCGCAGTGTCCTCGGCGCCCGAGCCCGCACCGTCCCAGCCAGGCCGCCCCCACGCAGCCTGTCCGCGCCGGCGGCTCCCGGGACGGAGCGGGGTGCGCCCTCCGCCCGCGTGGGGCTGTCGGCTCCCCTCCCCCCTCCCAGGCGGAGAACCCCCATTCTGCGCAGCTGAGTTCCGGGGGCTGTGACCAGGCCCCGCGGGCCTTGGGGAGCCCGCGCTCCTGGGGCTCGGCCAGGACGGAGCCTCGGGTCCGCCAGACCCGACGGGGCAGCCATGACGCAGGTGCAGGCGGGTGGGAGGCGCCCCTCGGGTCTGCCACTCTGGGGGCCGCCCTTCCATCACCGCGGGGTTCCCCGCTGGGGGCCACCAGGCGGGAGAGCGCGAGGCCCCAGGGCTCCCGCCCGAAAGGCCGGCGGGAGCGGAGGGAACAGCCGCCTTGGTCCCCATTTAAGCCTCCGCGAGGCCGAGGCGCAGACCCGGAAGTCTTCAAGTTCGGGTGGGCGACCCCGCCAGCTTCCAAGATGGCGGCCGCGTTGTGCCGAGGGCGCGCGGCCCTTCCGAGGTGCGCAGGCGGGACTTCCGGGCGCGCGCGGGGGGACTTCCGCTCGGCCTCCACCGCCGTCGGCAGCGGCGACATGGCGGCGCTGAGGGCTGTACGCCGCCTCGGGGGCGCGGCGGCCCAGCTGCTGCGGCCCGGCGCTGGGGGCCGCCTGCAGGTGCAGCCCGGCAGGTGAGACCCGGCAGCCCCCGCCGCGCTGTCCCCATGGCCGGGAGCTCCCCCCGCTGGGCCCGGGGAAGGGTGACCTGGGCCTGTGACCCCGGCCCGCGGTCTCGGACCCGGGGGCCGCGGCGCCCGCCCGGCCGAGGAAAGAGGTCTCGCGCTCGTTCGGCCCGCGGTGGAAGGAGGTGGAGGGAGACCTGCCCCGCAGCGTTGAGATCGTGTCCCTCCCCTTATCTCTGCGGCCTCTCCTGAACCCCGTCACGGGTGGGCGCCACCGGTGACACGCGGGGAAAGGAAAGGAGGAGCACACGCGGCGCCCCGGGCTGCGGGGCATCGCTCCGCTCACGCCCGAGCCGAGCCAGGAGGCCGCAGGCGCCCTGTCTCCCCGCTGACCTTGAGCGGCCGGGCGGGCGGGCGGGCGGCGCGGGGCGCTGGGTGAAGCGGTTCTGGAATAAGCTGTCGGGACAGGACGCCTGGGCCCAGCTGGTTCTGCAGGGCTGCGGGGCCCGTGCCCGCGCTCGGCGTGGAAGGACCCAGGCCTCCTCCCGGCCTGCCCCCGAGGGGGTGGGAACAGGGACCAGCACTGCTCAGCCTGTGCCTTGAACTCCCTAGAGGTGCCCGGCAGTGGCAGCCAGATGTGGAGTGGGCCGAGCAGTTTGGGGGAGCGGTCATGTACCCCACCAAGGAGACAGCCCACTGGAAGCCTCCACCCTGGAATGGTGAGTGCCAGGGCCCTGCCCACCTGACTTGTGCTGCTGAGCGCGGCCTTCGCGGGCTGTAGCCTCGCCCGTCGGCCTCTTTCTCACGCAGCTCACCAAACAGGAGCAGCGCCCATCGGAGGTGCTTGTCACCCAGAGACGGAGCAGAACAACATTCCAGGAGAAGGAAATAGGTCCCTACCAAGGATTTTTGTAAAGATGACATTAAATTTCTATATATACATATATATATTAATTGATTTCAGAGAGGCAGGGAGAGGGAGAGAGAGGAACATCGATGATGAGAGAGGATCATGGACCGGCTGCCTCCTGCACGCCCCACACTGGGGATGGAGCCCGCAACCCGGGCAAGTGCCCTGACCGGGAATCGAACCGGGACCTCCTGGTTCGTGGGTCAACGCTCAACCCCTGAGCCGTGCGGCCGGACTCCACCAAATTTATATCTTTAGCTTCAGCTTTTCCCAGAGGTTCAGTAGACAGTATGTTTCCGTCTGCCTGGCTGGGCGAGGTGCCTTTCCCAGTCACACAGAGGAAACCTTCCTGAACACAAACATTTTTTTTCTCCCTGAAAACCAGTCTTTCCACTTTGACTTTTTGATTTGGTACAGTGGCACTGCTTTCTCCTAATCTTAGAACTGACACTTTTTGGTCACCTTGGCTCAGTTTTCTCTTGCCTTCCGTCTGTGCCCAGTAAGTCACCCAGCCCTGCAGCTCTTCCCTCATGTACTTTAGGGCACCTCTCCCTTTGTATCCAGATGTATGTTGTGTCAGACCTTGGTTGTTTCAGGAGTCTCTTCACTGGGCTCCTGCCCTGACCTGCTATCCCAGGGGTGGGCAAACTTTTTGACTCGAGGGCCACAGTGGGCTCCTAAACTGGACCGGAGGCCGGAACAAAAGCATGGATGGAGTGTTTGTGTGAACTAATATAAATTCAAAGTAAACATCATTACATAAAAGGGTACGGTCTTTTTTTTTTTTTTTTATAGTTTGCCCATGGCTGTATCCTAATCCAGTGTCATGGCCTTCATTGTCCCCAAAGATCCGTTTACCATGTCAATCATTCTCATGCTCTAAAACCTTTAAAGGCACAGTTACTTTTCTTTTTTTAAGTATATTTTATTGATTTCAGAGAGGAAGGGAAAGAGAGAGAGAGAGAAACATCAATGATGAGAGAGAATCATTGGTCAGCTGCCTTCTGCACGCCCCCTACTGGGGCTTGAGCCCACAACTCGGGCATGTGCCCTTGACCAGAATCGATCCTCGGACCCTTCAGTCCACAGGCTGATGCTCTATCTACTGAGCCAAACCAGCTAGGGCTCCAGTTACTTTTCAGAAATCTCACAGTAAAAATAGCTGGGTGCTTACATATCCTATGTGTTTTGTATACATTATCTCACGTAGTCCAGACAACAATCCTCTGGGAGTTATACTAGTATTATCCCAACTTCGAGGACATTATAGTGCGGGGAGATTAAAACTTGACCAAGGACACACAGGTGGAATTGTGCTCAGATTTGTCTGACTCCACAAAGCCCACAGGGAAGAATTTTGCTTTAAAAGTTGGGCTCTGGTATTAAATCTCAATTCTCTATTTACCAGTGAATAAAATACCTACTTCACAGCACTACTGTTAGGAGTAAATGAGGCAATAAAAGCAGAAGCCACTTAGTGCAGTGACTGGCACATGGCAAATCTCCCACAGTGCTGTTATTGATAGTAGCACTGCCCTACCCCGTTTGGCTCAGTGGATAGAGCGTCGGCCTGTGATCTGAAAGGTCCCAGGCTCGATGCCAATCAAGGGCACATGCCCAGGTTGTGGGCTCGATCCCCAGTGGGGGGATTGCAGGAGGCAGCCGATCAGTGATTCTCTCTCATCATTGATGTTTCCATCTCTCTTTCCCTCTTCCTCTCTGAAATCGATCAAAATATATTTAAACAAAATAGTAGCACTGCCTGCCAATACTCATCTGCTTCGGGGCAGGTAAGAGTCCCAGAAACACTGTTTACGGCAAGATTGACCCATGTGGATTCCACACCTGGGCAGTCTCTTCTTTCTGCCTCCGAGTCATTTAACTTAAGAGCCAGCTCAGGTCTTCACAGTGCTTTCCCCTCCCTTCAAATACTTCATGGCTGAGCCACTGAATTGGTAACTCGTCAGTTTGGCCTGTGTTACTAGTTTCTCACAGGTACTTATTTCCTAAATTAAATTGTAACTTTTTTTTTTTAATATATATATTTTTAAATTGATTTCAGAGAGGAAGGCAGAGGGAGAGAGAGATAGAAACGTCAATGATGAGAGAGAACCATTGATCAGCTGCCCCCTGCATGCCCCCGACTGGGGATCCAGCTCACAACCCGGGCATCAAACCCAGGAGCCTTCAGTCCACAGGCCGACCCTCTGTCCACTGAACCAAACCATCTAGGGCTCACTTGTGACATTCTTGAGGGTCAGTCCAGTCATTTAATAGTAGTAAGAGTTAAATGTCCAGTCCTGGCTGGTGTGGCTCAGTTGGTTGGTGTTGTCCTGTGCACCGAAAGTTGCCAGGTTGATTTCTGGTCAGGGCACATGCCTGGGTTGTGGGCTCGATCCCCGATAGGGGGCATGCAGGAGGCAGCCGACCCATGATTCTCTCTCATCATTGATGTTTCTATCTCCCATTTCCTGGTGGGTCATCAGATGCATTTGGAGAGCAGTGCATCCTAGTGGTTAAGAGTGTGGACTTTGAAATAAAAAACAAACAAAGAAGAAGGAGTGTGGATCTTGGAGCTGAACAGGCTGAGTCCAGTCCAGGCTCTGCCAGCGTGTAAAGTCATTTATCCTTTCTGGCCTCAGTTTTGCCATTAAAATGGGGATAACAATAGTACCTAGTACTCATGTGGTTGTTGTGAGAATTAATTAAAATAAGTAAAATGGTTAGAGTAGTGCAGGGCACATAATAGGGCTATATAGGTGTTAGCTATTATTATTATTACTACTACTACTACAGGGGTATTCTGGGTGATGTGGGAAGAGTGGGTTTGTCGTCCCTCTCCTCAGAAAGCTTTTCCCACCCAGTGGTCCTGGAGGTTAGGAAACTAACTGTGGAGAGCAGGGAAAGGCTAACCCTGCTGCCTCTTGGGGGCTCTCAAGGGAGTTGCCGTTTGGCTCTGAACTCTTTCCCACTTCTCAGATGTGGACCCTCCGAAGGACACAATGGTGTCAAACCTGACCCTGAACTTTGGGCCCCAGCACCCAGCAGCCCATGGTGTGCTACGCCTGGTGATGGAGCTGAGTGGGGAGATGGTGCGGAAGTGTGACCCTCACATCGGGCTGCTGCACCGAGGCACCGAGAAGCTCATTGAATACAAGACCTACCTGCAGGTGTGGGAACACAGGCCTGTGCACGGGACCTGGGCATTGCCAGCTGGCTGTCCCCAAAGCTCCAGGGGTGGAGGGTTGTGAGGGAGTCGCCTGTGGAGGTTGTGAGGACAGTGTTGGTTGGGAGGAGGGAGGGTTGTGGCAGGGGATGCAGGACTTGAATCATCTGGACTCAGTTTACCCAGTAGGAATGCTTTGTAGCCAGAGCCGCACTCCCAGCTTTTCTTGGGCTGTCTTTTGGCTGCCCCGTGTCCTTCCTGTAGTGCCTCAGTTTCCCTGCTCTTATATTGCACTCAAATGTCAAAGCCAGGGTCCCTAGTGGGCAGGGACAGAGGAGAGAGACATCAGCTCCCCAGGATTAACAGCTGAATATTGTATCTTCCAGCTGTTTCCTTGCTTTCGAAATACTCAGTGAGTCAGAGTGACCAGGAGGGAGTCTGTGACAGAGTTTGACATTTTTAAGAGAACTATGTGACCCAGGTGGTGAGGGTCAGAGTTAAAGGAACTGGTTCTGGGGTAGGAACCTGAAGTTTTTTCACTGTCATGAAGAAAGGTCTTGAGAGAGGGTGATGGGTTCGGATGAAGAGCCAGCCAGCCAGATTGCGCTTTCCCTGGAGATTGCAGGCAGTGGTGGCTTCTGGTCTCAGAGTCCATGGAGTTCACCCTGCAGCACTGCCCAGTCACAGTGACATCAGTGCAAGAACTGGCTGTCCCCATGAGGGGCATCTCAGCTCCGCCTCCTTCCTGGAAGCTCACAGCTGGGCTTAGAGTCTGGTGTTCTGGGAAGGAGTCCTTCCTACCAGAAACAAATCCCACCTTCCTTATGTCTGAACTCCGGGGACGGGGACCCCTAAGACTGATGACCTGGAGGACGGTTGGCAGTGGGGTGCTGGACCCCGGTCATCCTGAGTCACAGGGCAGATTGTTAAATTTTGGGGAATTTTGTGAACCAGTAGTTAAAATAGCCATTGTTAAAATTAAATGATATTGGTTTGCGATTTAGTATGTTATTTTAAAAACCAAGGCAAGAAGTACTCAGAACTCACCAGGCTTTGCTGGGCCGTGCTCTGGGATGCTAGCTCTCGTGTCTGTGCTGCCCAGACCTGTGTTCAGTTCTGTGACATGGGAGCTGGAAATTGTTCCTGGTTAGAGTGTTTTCACTGAGGATCCTGGCAAACCTGACGCAGGGTCCCTGCCCAGCACCCTGTGGGGATGAGGTATCCTTGAGGGCTCCTGGCCCTGAGAGGGGACCTGGTTCCTCCCTCTTCCCAGGCCCTTCCGTACTTTGACCGGCTGGACTACGTGTCCATGATGTGCAATGAGCAGGCTTACTCGCTGGCTGTGGAGAAGTTGCTGAACATCCAGCCTCCTCCGCGGGCACAGTGGATCCGAGGTACACCCAGCCTCTCCCGGCCCGGCTTAGTGTGCAGATCCCGGCTCTCCCGAGGCCGGCTGTCAGCCTGGGTCCTTGGCCCCTTTCTTGTCCTCCCCTCTCTGCAGTGCTGTTTGGGGAAATCACACGGCTGTTGAACCACATCATGGCTGTGACCACACATGCCTTGGACATTGGGGCCATGACCCCTTTCTTCTGGATGTTTGAAGAAAGGGAGAAGGTATGAGAAGGCGGGAAGAAGAGGAATGGTGAAGGAGATGAGGAAGTGGAGAAGGTGTGAAGGAGAAATGAGACTGAAAGGAGAGAGGACACAGGGGGAACACTTAGGGGAGGAGGCTTATTTAACCAGGGTTATATTCTTTTTTTAGGGGCCAGTTAGAGTCTTTAGGGACTCTGTGGTGAGGGGCAGGGGAGTGTACCACCATGTGGTCAGACTTAGGGTCCGGGATTTTGTCCCCAATTCTCTGTGTGTCCCATCCAGATGTTTGAGTTCTACGAGCGAGTGTCTGGGGCTCGGATGCATGCGGCTTACATCCGCCCAGGAGGTGTGCACCAGGTGAGCAGTCTCCCAGTTCCATCCCTGCTCGTGTCCTTCGCGACCACTGGGGGGCAGCGCTGGCTGACTGAAAAGCCGCCGTGTGGCCCTGGCCAGAGGCTCTGCTGTGCTCACTGTCACTCTCTCTGGCCCCTAGGACTTACCCCTTGGGCTTATGGATGACATTTACCAGTTTTCTAAAAACTTCTCTCTTCGGATTGATGAGGTGGAGGAGGTGAGATAGGAGTCATGGGGAAAATCCCTCTTTTCTCCCCAAGCCCGATTTGTGGGGTTTTGGTCTCCAGTGCTGAAAGACACGGAGGTGTTGGACGTTTGAAAGGTGTTTTCTTGGCTAACAGATGCTGACCAACAATAGGATCTGGCGGAATCGGACAGTTGACATTGGGGTTGTAACTGCCGAAGACGCGCTGAACTACGGCTTTAGGTGGAGGACTAGGCTTCTTCCCTGGGGGTGGGGCTTCTGGACTGAGAGTATGGCTTCCTGGACCTTCCTGGCCACACTCTGAGTTTGTCTCCCGCCCAGAGCCAGGGGTGAGGGGGGGGGGGAGGGAGATTTAAGGGAGGGAGGGTGCCTTTCTTGGTGTGTGGAGAGCAGCCCTTGTTGCTGTCTCATCTCTGCAGCGGGGTGATGCTGCGGGGCTCAGGCATCCAGTGGGACCTGCGGAAGACCCAGCCCTATGATGTCTATGACCAGGTGGACTTTGATGTTCCCATCGGCTCCCGAGGGGACTGCTATGACAGGTGAGGCCCAGGTCCTCCTCTAGCGCACGGTCCAGCTGCTTTCTTCCCTGTGTGTGTGAGTGCTTTTCAGAGCACTTTCCTGCGGCGCCTTGTTTTGCCCTGGCGGTGTCCTTCTGTCGTAGAACTAGTGTGGGCTGCACCTGACCGCTGAGGAGGCTGAGGCATGAGGGCAGAGAGAGCCCAGGATTACTCCGTAGAGCTGAGACTAGACTCCTGACCCAGGCTCTTTCCACCAGGTCCTCAGCCTCGCATCTCGTTCCTGTGTACTGACCCTGAGTGAGATTTCCTGTTGCTTTTGAGTCTGTCTGACTCTCACCCATTCTGTACTCCAGGGAGTGTTTAAGATAGTGATTAAAGAGGGAAATGCTACTGGACAGGGTCGGAGAAAATTAGGAGGGGACTTGGGGACAGGCCCAGGACCAGAACCGGAAGACTGCAGGCTTGCTGTGGTGGCCAGGCCATGCCCAGGTGCTCGGCTAGGAGAGGAATGAGGGAATCCCAGCGCTTTTCAGGTCGGAGCCTCTGCTCAGGGCTCTCTCGTCTCCTTCAGGTACCTGTGCCGGGTGGAGGAGATGCGCCAGTCCCTTCGAATCATCTCTCAGTGTCTGAACAAGATGCCTCCTGGGGAGATCAAGGTTGATGATGCCAAAGTGTCTCCGCCCAAGCGAGCCGAGATGAAGGTAGCTGCAGGGCGAGGAGGGGAGGCCCCGCCCCGCAGGGCAAGCGAGAGGACTCTGGGATTCAGTCCGTGTGCAGAGAGCTCACTGTATGAGCCTCCATCCTCTGTCTTCTCTGAGGGGAGAGGCTGCTTCCTGTGCGGCGTGGCGAGTGAGGCTGTGGGTCTGGGGTATTGATGTTCCTCTCTCCCTCCAGACGTCTATGGAGTCTCTGATCCATCACTTTAAGTTGTACACTGAGGGCTACCAGGTTCCTCCGGGGGCCACGTACACAGCCATTGAGGCTCCTAAGGTGAGAGGAGGGAGGGAAACCTTGGCGAGGAGTGGGCGGTTGGAGACACGTTGGTGAGGGTGCGGGTGATGAGAGGGTCAGCTGGCGAGGAGCAGCTCCTTTCTGCTGGTGGCAGCCGTCTCCTTCTTCCTCGGGCAGGGAGAGTTTGGGGTGTACCTGGTGTCTGATGGCAGCAGCCGCCCTTATCGATGCAAGATCAAGGCTCCTGGTTTTGCCCACCTGGTAAGAACCAGTCCCGATGATTCTGACTCCACTATGGTTGCCCTTGGTTGAGATTTCTGTGAACTTCCCTCTCGTCTACCCTGATAGCCTTGCTAACGCTGTTGCTCCCTCCATTTGCAGGCTGGTTTGGACAAGATGTCTAAAGGACACATGCTGGCAGACGTCGTTGCCATCATAGGTACGAGGCTGTTGTGTAGACAGAGGCACTGGACCCCTGTGTGGGGACAGAATCTGGACACTTCCTGTTCTGCAGAGACTCGGGGCGTGGACTCCGATCCTCAGTCTCTGGGTCCTGGGTGACGACACTTTCTCCTCCCCGGCCTCCTAGGCACCCAGGATATTGTGTTTGGCGAAGTCGACCGGTGAGCAGGACAGCAGCACTTCATCTCCCTGCCTCTCGACTTCCGTGCGGAGCCTGTCATCACTGGAAGTGGGCTGTGTGTGTGCACAACACTCAGCTGTTAGGCTTTCTGTGCGTGTTCTAGAAAAGAAAGGAATAAATTAGCCGCCTCTGGCCCCTATGCCAAAGCCTCTTATGTCTTAGCATCTCACTGTCTTTCATTTTCATGGGAAACTTGAGTGTTTGTTAACCTTGTACTTCTCTATTAGATTCTGTTCTTAGCAGTTTTTCCTGTTCCTCTCCGCCCCTTCTCTGACTCTTGTCCTTTCCACTTCTCCATTCCCCGTTTCCTCTTTTCCCTCAGTGCCCCCCCTGCCCAGATCTTGGTGCCCACACAGACCAGTACCCCTCGAATCAGGGCTGGGGACGTTCCCGGCAGAGAGAAAAGGGCTGGCATGGGTCCTAGGGAGCCAGGTGGCGGTTCTCCCAGGTGTGTCTCTGAGCAGGGCTGTGTGGGAAGGGGGTGACTTGGTCTTGCCCAGCGTGGGAGTCCCCTCCTGTGGAGGCAGAGCCCCAGTCACTGGACGCCTGAGGCGGAAGGGCCCAGACCGCTCTGCTCCCTTAGTTGGCCCTTCCGGGAGCCGCCTGGTTTCTAGCGCAGGAAGGGGAAGGGGCCAGAGCTGGGGGAGGCGTGGCAGGAAGGGGGGAACTCTGTGGTCAGGGAGCTGCTCACCAGCACAGCTGCGCCGGCCCTCAGCTGCGCTCCGCCTGCCGCCCCTCCGCCCGCCCAAGATGATTCCCACGGCGCTCCTGCTCGCACTCCTTTTGGTTGGACAGGCAGGTGAGGGCTTGCAGGGACAGGGAACTGGACTCCCAGGTGGGAGTCAAGGGCATATGGGCAGGCGAGGCAGGGACCCCAGGGTGGGCAGTAGTGGGCAGCTGGGCACAGGGACTCAGGCTGGGCCTGTGTGGTTCCATCCGGGCACAAAAGTCAGTTTCCTCCTTCCTTGTCCCCATCTTAGGATGGACAGGCACCCCGGAGCTGCAGCTGGCAGGGAGGGAGGGTGTGACACACAAAATGGGCTGGTTTCCTGTGGGGCTTTGGTCTTGTCCAGGAGGAGCTGGCCTCCAGCTGCCTAAGTGGTATCTGTCAAGTGCCTGTGGGAGCAGAGGCCTGGCCTCGTGTGTGGGAGGGAGGCCAGGCTCGCCAAGCAGATGTGATTGCTGCTTCCGTGTGTCATGGCTGGCATGCACCTCCCGGCAGCCGCAGCGGAGGGTGGGCAGTGTGGTCATCTAGAGACCTGAGCCTCCTCGGGGAACCGGGCAGGAATGGGAAAGGCCCCGCGGTCAGTGTATGAACTCTCGCCTCTCCCTCAGGGTTGTCTTGTGTGAATGTTTACAAGATGGATGGTTGTGGCTGCAGTTTGGGGGGAACAGGGTTAGTGAAACTGAAGGGAATTTGGGGAAATGGAAAGATGGAAGGTTGCACCAACCCAGCTATGAAGGTGGGAGGGTCTGAGAGCAGCCGGGCGATGGGAGCGCCGCTGAGGCTGGGGAGGGCACCGGTGAGGGCGGAAAGCTCGGCGTTGCTGCCAGTGTCGCTGACTGTGCCCTGAGGGAGCTGCTTCGCTTCCTTGGGCCTTGGTTTCGTCAGCGGTGAGATGGCGACGGCATTTCCCAAACGGCAGCCTTGAGATTTGTGCAACAGGGAGTGTGAAAGACGTCGTCGTAGAATAAAAGTCACAGCCCAGGAGCCCATGTGACAGCGGCCAGGGTGATGGGGCAGATAGGCGCTCAGACCCTATTTTACTTTTTAATTGCACAAACTTCCTCTCAGTGGCCAGGGTGTGAGGAACAGGGCAGAGTCCCACAGAGACACCCTGTCCCCTAGACGGAATCTCTCTCAGTGGGGCCTTCCCTGGGGCCTGTGCCGGGCGGGGCATCCCTGAGCCGGGGAAGCAGCTGCCTGGCTTTTACATGCCCAAGTGTCTGGTGGGCAGAGCAGCGTGCGCCGAGGCCAGATGACCAACAACAGTAAGGCCTTCCCGCCCTTCCCCAGCTCACACCCTTCCTGTCCAGCTCTCAGCCACAGGTCACAGGACTGAGCAGAGACACTGCTGTGGTTTCTTCACTGACATTTGTCACTGCCTTCCCCGCGCCCTGCCCTCCAGGCTGAGGTTTTGGTTTTTGCCCAGTGAACTCAGATGAGTCCCTTGAGGGCTATGAAGTGCTCAGCCGAGCCTGAGGAGCCCCAGTGCTCGCAGGAAAGTCTGGGGCTGGGGAGAGGAATCCAGAGAAAGAGCAAGCTTCCCTGCAGAGCACCCTCAGGCCCGGCCTCCCTCCCAGGGCCCTCCCTTCCCTGACGCCCTCCCCATGGGCACCCTCTCTCCCCTCAGAGGCCCTGGGAGAGCCTCAGATCTGCTACATCCTGGATGCAATCCTGTTTCTGTATGGGATCATCCTAACCCTGCTCTACTGTCGACTCAAGGTGAGGCTGGGCAGGTGGGTGGGGCAGTGGTGGCAGCATGGCTTTGAGGAGAAACCCACCAAGTTTGGAGGGAAGGGGGATGGGCCACTAACATTACTCTTACTAATGACCTTCCTCTGCTCCAGATCCAGGTGCGAAAGGCAGCTGTAGCCTATCAGGTATGGAACCCCCTCCCCACACCCGGGTATCAACAATTTTGCAGACTAGCCCTTCTGGGCTATAGCCTTGGGCTCTGCAGCCCCTGGGAGGTGAATTTCAGGTGTTGACCTGCATAAGCTTCAGAGACCCACTTCCCACCTCACCCTACCCACCCTGCCACCCAGCCAAGTCACGGGTGACAAGTCCCACCCCTGGCTGATATGTCCCTGGGTGCGGAAGAAGATGCTGGGGGGCCCTGGAGGATGTGTGGGTCTCTGACAAGTTGCTCCTTTGCCTCCACAGAAGTCAGATGGCATTTACACGGTGAGTGAGTTGGCCTCGCCCACCCCCAATCCCAGGACGTCAGCAGAGGAGGGTGGATTTTGAGTGACCTTTGGAAGGGCAGGGTCTGTGGGGGTTAGTGGGAGCCGTGGAGGGACTCAAGCTCCTGACTGTCCTCTGACCTTCACCTCCAGGGCCTGAGCCCCCGGAACCAGGAGACTTATGAGACCCTGAAGCATCAGAAACCAACAGAGTAACTAGGACAGATGCCCTTGGTCACGTCCTCCTTCTGCTCCAGTTCCCGCCCAGTCCCATGGTTGACACCACATATGCCTCCCGCCATTAATGCCCGCAGACCTCCCCTGTAAAGACGCTATGCCCCCATGAATGGACCCATTGGTTCCTCCTCCCTGCCCAAGGCCTGTGCTCAGATCCTGCTCATTAATGTGCATATTCTAGTCTCCCCTGACCTCCCCCTCCTTCCCTACACCCAGCTCCCCCAACCGCCCCCCTCCTCCCTCCTCCCAGTTCCCACCAGGCAGTGGGACAGGAGCAGCACCAATAAAGCTGCCTCAGACTGGGCTCCACTCCTTGCTTCCTTCCTCGGACACGTAGTCTCTGCAAGGCTCTGGCTGGGACTGCAGAGCCAGTGGGAGCAAGGCAGAGGCCCACGCCTGACTCCCAGAGCTCAGTGTCCAACGCCAGGCTGTTTTGCTCAACTGAAGGGCAAATGCTGCTGTGAGGGGACAAAGGAGCCCCTGGCCCCAGGCCTCTAGTTTGGGCAGGAGCAGGGGCTTCCGTGTTGGGATTCTGGGCACATTCAGAGACATTCGAACCTAAGAAGTGACTTCTGGGCTGTGGGAAAGCCTGGCTGCCCAGCCTCGGAGAGTGGCCAATCCGATCACAGTGGGGTCAGAGTGTGGGACAGCTCAGGGTGCATGGCGCAGCCTGGCCACAGCCCAGCATCAGGAGGGTGATGTGAGGAGGCTCTGCCGCTCCTCAGGGAAGGTTGCAGGGCCAGTGGGTTCTCAGCAGGTCCTGGGGCAAGAGGGGCCTTAGTGGAATAGGGAGGGATTGGATGTGGGCAAGACAAAGGGGACAAGACAAGTTGGGTCCTGATGGCGGGGAGCTCCTTGAATGCATAGGTGGGCGGTGAAGGAACCCCCTCAGGCCTGTGCTGTTTCCAGCAGGAGGCCGGATTCCCGGGAAGTATGTTGTTGTTTTCAGAGAGGGAGAGAGAGAAGCATCAGTCGCCTTCTGTATGTGCCCTGACCCCAGGGATCGAATCTGCAACCCAGGTACATGCCCTTGACTGGGAATTGAGCCCATGACCCTTTAGTGTGTGGGCTGGCGCTCTAACAACTGAGAACACTGATCAGGGGTTCTTGCTTTCTTTGAGAGAGAGAGAAACATTGATCGGTTGCCCCTGGGTATGTGCCCTAAGAAACCCTCCACCTTCCAGCATATGGGATGATGCTCCAACCAACAGGGCCACACCGGCCAGGGCTGGAAGTCTTTGCATCCCATCTGCTGCGGCCCGTCCTGCCCCAGACCCAGCAGCCCTCTCAGATGGGTCTCTGCTCTGTGCCCAGGCCACCCAGGCTGGGCAGTTCTTTACTCTCACAGTGACTCACACTTGTCAACGCATTTTTCCAACTCCTTGTACCACTTGCTCTGCTCACTAACCCTGTGAGTATCCAGCTCTTTGTAGTTTAACCTGTCAAGTTAAACTAGGTTGTCCTACAAGTGACAGACTGCCGTCTGTCCTGTACACTTTAGCACATGAGACACCCAAGGTCCTGGGAAAGAAGGGGAGGAAGGCGGCCATGAGGCTGAGGTCAGCGGTATGCAGAAGAAACTGGAGCCTCATCTGAAGGCAATTTCAGATGAAACGTGGGAAATGCCCGGGGAGGGGAAGCACTGTCTGACCTGAGCGGTTGGGTGGGCATACGTTTCGGACAATGCCTCTGCTTCCCTCACCTTGCACACCCACCCAGCCCGCTTCTGTTCTGCTGGGATTTAATCCAGGCATCATGGCTCCCAGCATCTCTAGTCCCACATGTCCACCCAACGGGAGCTTGCCAGGCCTTGAACCGGCTGTGGTGTCTGCTGGTTCCAGGCTCTCCAATGGCCGCTGGGCCAGGGCTGTGACAGCACCCAGATAAGAGGGGAGGGTGTGGAAAGGTGTCCCCAGATAGGGGTCCAGGTGAGAGCAGTGTGGGGAGAGTGAGCTGCACCTTTTACTGTAGGCTCGGGGGCGGGGAGGGGAAGCAGCAGTGTTCCCCGGCTCGGAAGGGGAGGGAGGGCCTTGGGGGACATCTCTGGGTTCGCTTTTTGGAAGCTTTCCCCTATTCATAGGCCAGTGATGGTGAACCTTTTGAGCTTGGCGTGTCAGCATTTTGAAAAACCCTAACTTCACTCTGGTGCCGTGTCACATATAGAAATTTTTTGATATTTACAACCATAGTAAAACAAAGACATATTTTTGATATTTATTTTATATATTTAAATGCCATTTAACAAAGAAAAATCAACCAAAAAAATGAGTTTGCGTGTCACCTCTGACATGTGTGTCATAGGTTCGCCATCGCTGCCACAGCATGATGGTGAGGAGCTTCGGAGGGAGGCCTCGTTTCCTGTGCCTGCCTGAGGCCAGGAATCCAGCATGAGTCTCTGAGTCCCATGCCTTTCTCAGGCCCTCGTCCGTGCAGTTTCTTTTTCTTTTTTTTTTTTTAAATATATTTTTATTGATTTCAGAGTGGAAGGGAGAGGGAGAGATAGAAACGTTAATGATGAGAGAGAATCATGGATTAGCTGCCTCCTGCACACCCCACACTGGGGATCGAGCCCGCAACCCGGGCATGTGCCTTTGACCAGGAATTGAACCTGGGACCTTTCAGTCCTCAGGCCGACGCTCTATCCACTGAGCCAAACCAGCCAGGGCCATGGAATGGCTCTTCATCTCCTCAGAGCCGTTCCGGGCCTGGAGGAGACTCCGCGGTGCCCACTCTGCCATTTCCCACATTTGTTTCTTGGACCCTTTCTCCACCCTTCACACCCAAGCTGCCTCCTCCTCCTGGGCTTCTGTCTTCCTCTCCCATCCTCAAAAAACTCACCATGGACTCCTTTACTATTTATTGTAGAAGCAGGGGTGGGGACAGAGGGCACTGGAGGCCAGCCAGATGTGTCCTAGGGGCCAGCTTGGGGTGGCTGGGCGTCCGACGGTGATTGGGATACCACGAAGTAATTGAGGAAGCTCATCAGCTCATTCCCAGCCTTCTTGACCAGGGGTGTCACTGCTCACGTGTGTTCTCCAAGGAAGCCCTGGATATATGAGGGTTAGAGGTCAGTGTAAGGAACCAAGACACTGGCAGAGGCCTTGGTGGTGGTGGGAGGTGGGACCCAAGCCCCCCAGCTCAGTGCTGGTCCTGCTGGCACGGCACAGCTCCAGGAGGAGAGGCAGCCCTCCCTCCGCTGGGAGGGAACACAGCCCGGAGACAGGAACCCACAACCCAGCTGCTGGGCCCATCTGTCCACAGGCCCATGGGCCTGGAGGGATGAGGCAGTTGTTTTCTCCATCAAAGCTCCATTTCCGCAATCTCCACCCCGAGCTCAGTCTTCTGTGGGCCCTGAACCCCCCTTGCTGAGACTTACTTGGCCTGGGCCTGGACCTCTGGGCCCTTGACCTTCTCCACCAGGTCCTTGCCATAGTCGGTCACAGTTTGCAGGTACTGAGAACAGGCTTTTCAGGCTCGTCTCCTCTGCCTGCCTCCGGACCAAGGCTACTGGGCACACAGAATCACCCCCCTTTTTAGCTGGTCCCCAACACTGAATCCTGGCCAGCAGTTCTCAACCTGTGGGTCGCGACCCATTTGGCGGTCTAATGACCCTTTCACAGGAGTTGCCTAACACCATCCTGCATATCAGATATTTACATTATGATTCAGAACAGTAGCAACATTACGGTTATGAAGTAGCAACGAAAATAATTTTATGGTTGGGTCACAACATGAGGAACTGTATTTAAAGGGCCAGAAGGTTGAGAACCACTGGTCCTGGCCTCTGGCGACACCACTGCCAGTGCCCAGCCCAAACAGGCCTCCCACTCCAGGTCTTTGGATGGGCTTTCTGGGCTTTAAAGGGGGAATGGTCTTCATTTTGAGCCTTGGGGTTGCCAGATCTGGGCACAGAACTGACAGATGGGCAGCCAGGACCCCTACCGCCTTCTTGGGACCCCCCTCCACTCCACACCCACCTTTGAGGCCAGAGATGGTGAGGAGCAGCACCGCACTACAAGCAGCTTCAGGGTGGTGATGTGGGGAGGTGGCCTGGGAGCAGATGGAGGTGGGGCGACACTGAAGCTGGGTGGGCTTCAGCCCCTTCCCAGGGTCCCTTCCTAGGTGTCCACTCCAACCGGGTCCCTCCCCTCCCCACAACTGCTGCTTCCTACCTGGTCAGTGCCTCTGTCCTTGCGCCTATGCCTGGGCTGGCTGGGAGGCAGGGCCCATGTATCTGCCTGCTTCCCCACCCCCGTCAGGTGACAAGGACTGTGGAGGGACATTGGGGTGGACCATGTTGGAGTAAACACGTTGGAGAGGTGGGGAGGAGGGGACAAGTGCATGGGGGACGCCTGGTGCAGGCCTTCATGGAGGCAGGGTGTCCTGTAGGCCTCCTAGAGGTTCGCCCTGTTGGGGTCTGGGGCAGCAGTCCCTAGGTCCGTGCTGCAGGAAGTCAGAGTGCTATGTTTCTCTGGAAGCTCTGACACATCAACCCTCAGCCCTCAATAACTCTGTCCCATTAGGAGTGGATTTCGTCTCCCCAACTCTACCCCCCGCCCTTCACTGCAACTTGCAAGAGATTTTGGGGAACAGAAGAAAGGAGAAAGGAGTTGGAATTAGGGGTAGGGATGAGGGTCAGAGGGCAGGTGATTCGCTTGTCCCTTCCTCAGTTAATGTGTGATGAGACAAGGTTGAAAACATGTTGACCAATGATCACACCCTACCCCCAAAGTCAGAAAGCAGCTTCTGGTAGGAAAAGAGGTTCAGGTTAAAGAGTAAAAGTTGAAGGTCCCTGGTCATTGGATCACCTTATTAGGTAGAGGTGGTAGCCAGCAAAAGTGAGTCAGCAGGGGCCACAGCACCCCTCTGCCCAGATAGCAGGGAGGGAGGGAATTCCCAGGGCATTTGGGTGAAGTCAGCTGACTAGGTATCAGCAGCATTTGCATCTTTCACCTTTTTGCCATCAAAGTGCAGGCAGGACATTCCCGGGAGTTGGGGGTGAAGATGCGAGGCCCAGCGAGGGCCCCCCTCATTTCCCTGTGGAGACCCCAGTGCTGGAAGGCACCCCACTGACTCCCGCCTGGCCCTGGAGTGGAGCGCAATTGTGGGCGGGCCCATATTCCGGGATTTTATTTTCCAGCTTTGCCTGGGGAATCAGGGAAGGAAGGATTGATTAATTACAGGGGCAGCTGTTTCAGGGGCCAGATCTGCTAGAATGGAGGCTGCAGCCCCTGCTCCTCCACACCCCAGGCGCTCACACGCGGTCCCATTCCGAGAGGGAGGCAGGAGCGCGTCCTAGGGCAGCTGTGTGGCGAGCAGTTGCATTTGCAGAGCGTCGCGGAGGCCTGGGAGGAGGAGCCCAGGCGATCCTGGGGGCGTGGGAGGCGCCGAGGGCGACTGAACCGGGTGGAAAATAAGTCTTCCCCGTCGTTCCCTCCGCCCTCTTCTCCAAGGCCGGCCCCCACGCTGTCTGGCGGAGGGAGCTTCGACGGCCCAGGCTCCACGGTGCTCCCTCCAGCGTCCCGCGCGCTCCTACGCCCCGACCTGGAGGCCGCGGACCGAGCCAATCAGCTCCGAGTCGGTCTCGGGAGCTGCCCGCAAGCCCCGCCTCCGCAGCGCCAAGGCTGGAGCTCTCTGGACGCGGCGCCTGCCACTCCTCTGCTTCCTCCTCTCCCATTGGCCCCAGGGAGATCAAGGCCGCTTATTTTTAATAGATTGGGCGGGGCCCAGTCCAGGGAGGTTCGGATCTTTAAAAGCTTCTTTTTGCCCGGTTCCAAGATGGTGCTCATGACCACGCGGAGACAGCAGCGTGAAGCCGCAGTCCTGCCAGCACTCAAGATGGCTGCCCCCATCAAGATGACCGGGGTGTGCCGGGGGGAAGGGGGCAGCACGGAGGTCTGAGGCGGTAAGGCGACCACTACGTGGCGGACCTCTCCCCGGGGCCTCGGGAGGGAGAGTAGAAAGACTAGGAAGCGGGGGAGGCGTGGGGGGCTGGGGTTAGAGACGGGTGACGGGTGACGGGTGGGCTGTGGGGCCAAAGGTGCGACGGGACTGTGCCCGCGATGCAGCGCCCGCCCGGTGCCCTCGCCCCCGCTCTTCTCGTTCCAGGCCTAGCGTCGGACCATGTGGAAGTTTTGGGGGCTGGGGAGCCGGAGGAGAGGGGGTGGGGCCCGCGGGGGGTAGAGGGAGGAAGAGCATCCTTCCCAGCTCACCCCGGCCCTCCCCGTCCTGTGGCCTGAAATGGGGAACACGTTGGGCCTGGCTCCGCTGGCGGCTTTGCCCCGCCGGAGCCCCCGTCGAGAGGAACCCCTGCCCAACCCCGGGAGCTTCGATGAGCTGCACCGCCTGTGCAAAGGTGAGGCTGGGACTCGCGTGTCTCGGGCGGAAGGGGCCGAGGGGGCGGGCGGTCTTGCCTGCGGTCACGCAGAGATGGGAGCAGGAAAGGGCGATCGCGCCGGGCTTCCGGCCTCAGGGAGGCTCGGGTGCCGCAATGGATGGAGCATTTTGTTGCAGAACCGGAAAGGAGGTCAGTTCCTCCAAAGCGCTGGCTGTGGCGCGCACGGGGACGGCTTCTTGGGGTCGGGGCTCCCCTCTGTGCTCACTCCTCCCCTCCCTCCCTCCCACCTTCAGATGTCTTCCCAGGACAGATGGAGGGCGTGAAGCTCGTGGTCAACAAGGTTCTGAGCAGCCATTTCCAGGTGCTCCCACTTCTCTGGCCCCCCCTCACTGCGCCTCCTGCCCGGCCCCACCCTCTCCTTCCTCTGCTCCTGCCCGGCCAGGCTGCGGGATAGAGGGAGGAGCCGGCTCTAACGCCCTTGCTGGTGGGACTTGTTGCTTTTAGTCAGGTGGCCCTCAGTGTGTGTTGGATAGTTGGGATTCTTGAAGGCCTGGGTGGGCGGGATGGAGGTGAGATGGGGACTGATGCAGCAGGAATGCGCTCCTCCACTGGCTTCTCTCCCGCAGGTGGCTCACACTGTGCACCTGAGCGCGCTGGGCCTGCCTGGCTACCACCTCCACGCGGCCTATGCAGGGGACTGGCAACTCAGCCCCACTGAGGTGAGGGCTGCACACACCTGGCCATCTCTCTAAAAGCCCGCCTATGGCAGGAGGAAATGTGTATGTTATGGGGAGGGCGCCTGCTTGTTTCCCTGGGTTTCTTCTGAATGGGACACTGTGTGATGGAGTGGGAGTTTTCCTGTGTGGCCCCACTAGGGGGCGCTGGGTGCTGTTAAAGAAAGCCCCTGTCTGTGGCTTGAGGCTGAGTGGAACCCTAGCCCAGCTTCGCCTGACTGTCCAGCTCTTCAACAGGTTTTCCCCACTGTGGTAGGTGACTGGGACAGCAGCGGCAGCCTCAACGCCCAGGTCCTGCTCCTCTTGGCAGAGCGGCTCCGCGCCAAGGCTGTCTTCCAGGTGACTCATGCCTCCGGCCTCCATCCGAGGGTTTCTTTCCTCCATGAATGTCCTGCTCCAGGGCCCCAGGGGGAGGAGCAGAGGCAACAGTGATGGCAGAGGGGGAGGGAGATCTTACGTCTCGCTCCATCCCAGACGCAGCAGTCCAAGTTCCTGACCTGGCAGTTTGACGGCGAGTACCGGGGAGATGACTACACAGCGACTCTGACCCTCGGAAATCCTGACTTGATTGGGGAATCGGGTGAGGAGTGGGACAGGGTTCTTTTTATTGGCTGCCCACCTGCTGCTGTTGGCAATCCTCTGCATCATCTGTCCAGTTCAGGGATCTGAGAAGAACCTCTGGGCAGGCTCGGGGGTCCTTGCGGGGGGGCAGGCTGGGTGCTGTCTCTAGGCCTCACTCTGTGTCTCCCACTCCCAGTGATCCTGGTCGCTCACTTCCTGCAGAGCCTCACACGCCGGCTGGTGTTGGGAGGAGAGCTAGTGTATCACCGGCGGCCAGGCGAGGAGGGGGCCATCTTGACACTGGCGGGGAAGTACTCCGGTATGATGAGAGGGTGAGAGGGCGAGAGGGCGGGGAATTCTGGACTTGGCTGGGTCCCTGGCCTGTGTCCAAGCAGTAAGGCTCCTGTCCTCCGCCTCTGCTTTCACAGCTGTGCACTGGGTAGCTACGTTGAATGTGGGATCAGGTGGGGCCCATGCCAGTTATTACCACAGGGCAAATGAGCAGGTGAGACGACTGATCCCACCCCCACCCGCATGTCACTCGTGAACTTTTGCCCACCCTGGGCCTCCACAAGGCCTGCTGACCGGCTGTCTTCCTGCCTGCGCTTCCGATTCATTTCCCGCGTGCCTCCTCCTGCTGGCCCGTCAGGACCCCGCAGTCTCTACAGAGACAGACCCTCTCCCATCCTCAGGTTCAGGTTGGTGTGGAGTTTGAGGCAAACACCAGGCTACAAGACACAACCTTCTCCTTTGGTTACCACCTGACTCTGCCGCAGGCCAACATGGTGTTTAGAGGTGAGGATGATTGAGACCACACGCAGAGGTGTTGTGGGATGGGGGTAGGTAGGGGGCGGGGAGCCGGGTACCTAACCTGGCCTGCATCTCCTGCTGCAGGCGTGGTGGACAGTAACTGGTGTGTGGGCGCTGTGCTGGAGAAGAAGATGCCCCCGCTGCCCGTCACCCTCGCCCTGGGGGCCTTCCTCAACCACTGGCGCAACAGGTTCCACTGTGGCTTCAGCATCACTGTGGGCTGAGGCGCCCGAGCCCCCACGGCAGCTGCAGCCTCTGAGTTAGGTGCTCGGGGCCAGAGACTGGGCCTTCTCTGGAGCCCACCTGGCTGGGTGACCTCGTGGTCCCAGGAGCAGAGTGGGGGATGGGGCCGTGCCCTCGCTGATGAGACGGTGGTCTAAGGACCACCTCTGTCCCCCCCCGCCCCCCCGCCCCCCCCCGCCACGCACGCCGTCTGTCCTGCTGCGTCTGTCCTGCTGCGGCTCTGGCCTAAGGGAGAAGGGGCAGGGGCCTGTCTGGCTGAGTTGTCCTCCTCATGCTCCCCCTTCTGCATTTCCCGGTGGATTAAAGCTCCTCACCTCTTCCTCTTCAGAGCAGGAATGTCTGCATGGGATAGCGCCATCCTGTTTGCCACCCCAGAGCCTCAGGCTGGGAGAGAACTTTGACCTCAGAAAGTGGGGCCACCTGTTCCCAGAGGAGCTCCTCTCCCGTTTCCTGCTTCCAGAGAACACTGCCCACGCCACGCCGTGACCGCACGAGGGGCGGCGAGTGCTGCAGGCTCTGGGGACCAAACTCCCTTTCCTCCGGCCCCACCTTTGGGCCCAGCGCCGGCCCTCAAGGCCAGTGTGTCGGGCCAGGTGGTGCTGGCAGCTGCAGACCCTGGACCAGAGGCGCAGCGCAGCCTGCAGGTGCTGGGTTTGTCTGTGCACCTTGTTAATGCTCCGGATCAGCCTGGAGCCCAGCAGCTTCACATACAGAAGCCTTTGGAGGAGGAGGGAGCGGGGCCCGGGGAAAGGAGGGAGATGTGGCAGCTGAGCGTCTGAGGCCCCGAGCCCGGTCCGAGCAGCCCGCCGGCATGAGGCTCGCCGGGCCCCCGGGGTGACAGACCTCGCCAAGGTCCCAGGGTCCCCAGCGCCTCCGCCTGGCAGTCTCCCGCTGTTTCTCTTGAACCCCAAGCTCTGAGGCCCTGAGTGAAGAAAGCCCCAGAATTGGCTAGAACTTCAACTATGAGGAATCTGAGGGTCCGGCCTTCTCAGCAGCTTCTAAAAGGCAGGAGTGTTCTGTGGCCGGGGGCATCCCAGGTCGGCCGGTGGAGTGAGCAGAACAGAAGGGGAGGCACCTCAGAGCTGGGGGCGAGCTGTGGAGCCAGGGCTTTGCCAGGAAGCTGTGTGCAAGCAAAACTTGGAATGAAAATGGAAGGATGGGCCAGTGAGGAGGAGGGGAGAGGCCCGGGAAAGAGGGGCTGCCACTGCCGTGAGGCTGCTGCTGTCTGGAGAGGTTGACGGGTGCGGTGTGGATGTCCTCGGGCTCAGGAATGCTGATGCAGAGCCTGTGAGCAACCGCTTTGCGTCTCTACTGAACCAAAAGGCTGCGGCGAGTGAACTGAGGCAGCGGCAGGAGCGGTGGGCACCGCACTGCATGAGAGGAAGGGAGTGCAGGCCCCGCGGGCTTCGGTGCCCCCAGGAGAGACTGAGAAGCATCTGCGCTGAGCTAAGCTCCCTTCCTCCCTCCCTCCCTGGTGCAGCCACCATGCCTGTCCCTGTACCGACGGGGCCCTGGCCGCTGTTCTGTGATGTAGCTACGGAGCCCACCCTCTCCTGCAGCTGGTCAGTCTCCCTCTGGAGACCTGGGCCGGTCTGTAAGAGGGAGCAGGAAGGATGCGGGGGTAGGGGGGCTGTACAGGGCCCAGGAGCCCCAGGCTGGAGGAGATGCATTCTGCAGATTGGAGGAGGGACGGATTGGAGGAGCTGGGAGTTTGACAGAGGTGTTGGGAGGAAGCTTCTGGGTTTTGGGGGAGCTCACCAGGCGAGAAGTGGGCCAGGCAGCCGCGAGCACACTCAGGCTCCTGGAGCTGCGGCCGCCACAGTGTCCTATGGACGTGAAAGAGCAGCTCCAAAAACTCTTTCTGGAACCCCAGACCAGCCTTCAGAGCCTTTGGTCCTCTGGCCTCGGCCATGCCACAAGGACGAGGACACGTGCCCTGTGCTGTCCTACCAGCACCTCACCAGGAGCTCCGTCTTCTCGGGTAGCAGAGGCCACCGAGGAATCTGTTTGGAGATGACAGATCTCGAAGCTGCCCCTTGAGGAGGGAGTCCGGGCCCTCCACGGGCTGGGCCTGTGGGGCTCGGGACACAGGGCACTTCACACTCGAGTCTGAACTGCGGAGAACTCCCGCTCCGACAGGCACAAACCAGGGGTGGTGATTCCAGACGTGGCGCTCGCGAAGGCCGGCGGTCAGTTGCCAGTGGCTTTTTGTGCTGTTCCCTTTCCCTTGGCGGTGGTGGGCAGTGTCATTGACTGCGGTGCTTTCTTCCTGAGAGGGGAGGGAGGCCACACACGGGAGCGGGCAGGGCCTGGTGACCTTGATGACTGGCTGTGCCATGAACGTGTTGATGTCGGCAAAGTGCGTACGCAGAGGCAGCACAAGGAGTGGGCCGGCGAGCACGGGGTGGGCGGACAGAGGAGCTGGAGGCCGCAGAGATCAGAGCTGAGGGAGGCCCAGGCCCAGCGTTCTCCGGTCCCTCCAGCCTTGGAAGGCTTCCTGGCTGAGGAGCTGGCCTCTTCGGGGTCCCGGAGAAGTCCTGGCCTCGGGATTGTAGTGACACGCAGCCCCGCCCTCAGGCTGTCCTCCTGGTTACCCTGTTGGTCCCATTCCAGCCCCAGTCCTGTGAGTGCTCACCCTGAACTGCACAGATTGGTCCAACAGGTGCCCACGTGGCGGGTGGGCCCCAGGCGCGTCTGGACGACTCCGCCCTCACTCAGCTGCCCGGGTGCTCTCTGTGCCGGCCTGGCCTGCAGGCAGGATCACTGTGCCCGCCAGAGACGCCACACAGCTCCACATCAGCAGAGAGCACCTCCCTGCCGGCTGTGGTCTGGGCCCGGCCACCCTCACAGCAAAGGGCGTGGGAGGGAGTCCGGAGGCTGTGGCTGGGGGTGTCCTGTCCACCTTCTCCAGCCTGTGGGCACTGGCGGAGAGCAGGGCACTGTGGTGGGGACAGGCTATGTTTGGCTGCTGAGTTGAAGCCAAACTCAACTCAGGGCAGGGGAGTTGAAGAGTTGGCTCTTGATACCTAAAGCATCGCCTTATATCTGTACAGCATTATGGTCTCAAAGGCTCTGCGGCCACACCTGATGGGATGAAACATCCCTACGGGTAGATGGAGGATCTGTTGTCCACAGGTGTTGTATCCATACTTTTCAGAAGTGTAAACAGGCTGAGATTCAAGGTCACAAGATAGTTAAGTGATGTAGATTGAATTCAAATCAAGGTTGTTTGACTTCTCCAGTTCCCACGGCTCACATGGAAAAATAGTGTGACGTCATGGAAACAGCAAGAGTTTGGAAATCAGACAGGCAAGTCTGAACACTGGCTCTACAGCTTTTTAGCTGAGTGACCTTGGGCATGCTGACTGCGTGAGCCCCTGTTACATTACGTTGGGAGCATAGCCTCATAACCTGGACACAGAAAGAGCATCATGTGATTAACTCAACAATTACCAACTACCTGCTGTGTGGCAGGCACTGCACCTGAGAGAAGAGGAAGCCAGCCAAGGCACCATGAGCTTCTGGGAGAGGGGCGGCCAGGCACGCGCAGAGCTCCGAGGGGTGCCGGGCGTGTCTGAGGGTGGTGCCACCGCCGTGTGCCTGGGGTGCACTGAGCAAGGGGGACAGAGCCACGAAGGTGGCCTGGGGAGCGAGGCCATGAGATCATGGACTGGAAGGTGAGCAGCATAGTGACATCGTCGCCTTGTCTTAAAGAGCGTTGCCTGCTGTAGCGAATGCTCGGTGGGAACAGGGAGAAGCGGAGCGTGGTCTGTGGGCTCCTGGGATGGGAGGGCCGCTCACTGTCCTTCCTGCCGGCACCCAGCACTTCCCCCACCTGCAGGCTGGGCCTCTGGGCCTGCTGACCTCACCAGTCCCCGCGAACAGGCAGGGGAGACCAGTGCCAGCTGTTCGTCTGGCAGACAGACGTGAGCGTTGGGGGTGACGGGCCGAGATGACACCGGCTACTCCGCGCTGTGCCCACAGGTCTGAGGGTGGCTGGGCACACCTCCGTCCGCATGGAGGCACAGGGTCACCCCTGTGGCCTGGTGCTTTACGGGAAATGAGCACCATAAGTGCTTTTCACTAAGGGGTTGTGTTCCTGGGACAGACGTTGCCCTTCCTCCGTGGTGATGCCGCCTGTGGTGTGGAGCTCAGCGCCATGGAGCCAGCTGGCCACGGAGCGAGAGGCTGCACAGCTCGGGCGCAGTTGGGGCTGTTTCTATTGGGAGGAGGCTCTTCCCTGAAGAAACCCTGCCAGCCTCACCAGTCAGGGCAGGGGAGTGATAGCCGTGGCCCAGTCCCCACAGGCCACACCATTCTGCAGCCCATCTCCCCCCTGGCCGTGGCTCCTGGTGTTGGGCTGGCTGTCACAGTCCGGGGGGGGGGGGGGGGGGGGGGAGCTCTGGGCCGACCTTGGCCCTGCCCCTTACTGCAGAGCCTTTGGACGCCTCTGGGCCCAGCCCCTGCAGTGCCTGATTGTGCTGTTTTTCGTTTCTGGCGCCAGAAGGTGGCCTGCCCGCCCCTCTCAGGCAGCTTGTCGCTTGCAGGTCACAGGATCCGGTGGGATGCATCTCCCCAAACCCCCACCTCTTTCCCCTTGATCCCCGGAGCTGCCCAGGTCAGGGGTCATGTCCTCAGGGTCTTCTGTTGTGTGTGGCTTCCGGTTCTCAGAGACTCTGGACCTGGGCAAAGGCCTGGGGGAGGTTTTCCCAGCATGCCCGTGGCTCTGGTTGCTGGCACGTGGGGAGGGACCCTGGCGGGGGCCGGGGGGGGGGGGGGCACCGCGGAAGTCACTGGAAGCTGCTCCTAAGCTCCCCCCTGCGGAGCTTCCCGCCGCCAGTCTGTGGGCCCGGGGAACAGCGCAGAGAGGGAGAGCAGAGCCAGCGTTGGGGGCCCCGGGGAAGCTCCTAGAGGCTGCGGTCTAGTTCAGAGCCCACTCAGCTAGAGGCCCTGCTTCCTCAGCAGGGAGGCCGCTCAGACCTGGAGGTGGTGGCATTAACCCGTGGGCTCTTGTGCCCTGAGCAGGCTTTGTGGGCAGTGAGCTTGCCACGCTCCTGCCCCGAGAAGGCTCTTCTTGGGCTCGGTTTGGTGCTCTGATGCTGCTGGCTTGAAATTCTTAGTGATTTTTTAAGGCGCTCTGCATTTTCGTTTTTATGGGGCCCCGCAAAACACCTGGTCCTGCCCAACTAATACGCTTAAGACTCAGAAGTAGGAGTCATCACCGGGGTTGTCCTGTGTTTCATTGACACTGAAGAATACTTCTGCAAGTGTAAGAAGTATCTACTCTCCCAACCTCTATGAGCAAAGTAATTTATTTATATATATTGATTTTAGAAAGGGAGGACGGGAAAGAGAGAAACGTCGATGTGAGAGGGAAACGTTGCCTCTCATACACGCCCCAACCTGGATCAAACCCACAACCTAGATATGTGCCCTGACCAGGAATCAAACCCATAACCTTCTGGTGCACTGATTGATATTCCAACCAACTGAGCCACACCAGCCAGGGCTAGAAAAAGTAATGTCGGAAGCTGTTTGGGTGTCTGGGCATGGGCACTAGGCAGGGTATGTCTGTGTCAGGTAAGTCTGATTCCGCCCGCGCTGGATAGAGTCCAAGTCCTGGTATCTGAGTGTGAAGCTTTGGCACTGCCCCTGCCCTGGCGCCGGCCGTGTCTGCACCGACAGTTCCTCCCAGTAGAAACAAGCTCTGTGCCTGCTGCTCTTCAGTTAAGACTCACATTATAAGTAATGCTGCTCCGCAGGCAAGTTGAAGCCAGTGCAGGCTCACGTCATAACACACAGAGAGAGGGAGAGACTGAGGTTAAAGACTAAGGTTAAAGGCCTTGCTGAGGTCCTGAGGATGAATGGGTGGAACCCTTTCTCAAGTACAACATCCAATGAGCCACGCCTAACTCACTGTATTTACAATAGCCCCACAGGCGCCCAGATCTGGTCCTGGGAGAGGTGAGTGTATTTATGCAGATGCGTTTGTTGGTATCTTTGCTTGAATGTGATTCTATTCGAATTCACACTAATTCACTCAGCCAACAAATACTGGCTGAGGACCTGCTGTGTGAGACTCTCTCATCATTGATGTTTCTCTCCCTCTCACTCCCTCTTTGAAATCAATAAAAAATATATCTAAAAAAAATGATGCAGGGGGGCTCCTGGCCGTGTGCTTTTCCGGTGGCGGAGTGGCCGATCACCGAGAGCCCGGAACAGTGGAGCTCTCGGCCATGAGCAGACGCCCCTCCCGAGACCGGGGTGCTCTCGGCCATGAGCAGACGCCCCTCCCGAGACCGGGGTGCTCTCGGCCATGAGCACGCTCCTCCCGAGACCGGGGTGCTCTTGGCCATGAGCACGCTCCTCCCGAGACCGGGGTGCTCTCGGCCATGAGCACGCTCCTCCCGAGACCGGGGTGCTCTCGGCCATGAGCAGACGCCCCTCCCGAGACCGGGGTGCTCTCGGCCATGAGCACGCTCCTCCCGAGACCGGGGTGCTCTCGGCCATGAGCAGACGCCCCTCCCGAGACCGGGGTGCTCTCGGCCATGAGCACGCCCCTCCCGAGACCGGGGTGCTCTCGGCCATGAGCAGACGCTCCTCCCGAGACCGGGGTGCTCTCGGCCATGAGCAGACGCCCCTCCCGAGACTGGTGTGCTCTCGGCCATGAGCAGACGCCCCTCCCGAGACCGGGGTGCTCTCGGCCATGAGCACGCTCCTCCCGAGACCGGGGTGCTCTCGGCCATGAGCACGCTCCTCCCGAGACCGGGGTGCTCTCGGCCATGAGCACGCTCCTCCCGAGACCGGGGTGCTCTCGGCCATGAGCAGACGCTCCTCCCGAGACCGGGGTGCTCTCGGCCATGAGCACGCCCCTCCCGAGACCGGGGTGCTCTCGGCCATGAGCACGCTCCTCCCGAGACCGGGGTGCTCTCGGCCATGAGCAGACGCCCCTCCCGAGACCGGGGTGCTCTCGGCCATGAGCACGCCCCTCCCGAGACCGGGGTGCTCTCGGCCATGAGCACGCTCCTCGCCTTTATGAGATTGCCTCCACTAAGTACACTCATGACATTTACAAAAAGCTTTTTTTTCACGTTTTAAACAACTTTATTGAGGTTTCAATGATATACAGAAAACTGCATGTATTGAATGTGTACAGTGTGCAGGATGGTGTGGGCAGGGCTGGGCCAGCCTCCCAAATCCTCACATTCAGAGAGGATTTGCCCGCCCTTTGCAGAAAGGGAGCCGGGCGCCAGCACATCTTGTATCTCTCAGTTGCACACCCAGCAGCCGTCTCACGCTCAGAAGCCTGAGGGACACATCAGAGCAGTGTGAGAGGCCAGGGAGGAGGCGGGCCGTGAGGTCCTAAGGAAGCCCTAGTCCCGGGCCCCAGAGAGTTTCCAGAACTGACCACAGACCCAGGGCAGGACCAGGAAACCCCATCTCAGGGCCAGGGGCTGGGCCGCCCCTCCTGCTGCAGTGGCAGGTGTATCTCTGCTCCTCTCCAGGGGCACCCCCTCAGCCCCCCACTTCTGGAAGGTCCCCACCCCGCAGGCCTGGTCTCCGCCAGCTCCAGGTCCTGGTTCTGGGCCTCCCCATCACGCTGCCAGGCCAGGGTGATGTCCGCAGGGTAGAAGCCCAGGCCCCAACACCTCAGGGTGACCTCCGGGGGGGGGGGGGGGAGGTGTCACGTGTGTCTGGGAGGATCTGCCCTGCAGCGTCTCCTTCCCCTTCTCCAGGCACCTGCGAAGCCACCACGCGCTCCCGCTCCGGTGTGCCCGGCGGCGCCGGCTGATCTGGCCACCTGGTCCGCGGGGCCCCGGGCGCAGGCCGCGTTCAGGGCGACGTCGTCGGCGCCATCGTGGGCGAACTGCCCAGAAGCGCGCAGGAGGCGCCCGTCGGGTCCAGGTCGCAGCCAGACGTCCCTGGGAGGTGGGGCCGGACTCGCTCTGGTTGTAGCCGAGGGCGTCTGCGGGGTCCCGAGCGGGTTCCCAAGCTGCGCCCCTCCCGCGGCTCCACCTCGGGCCGGCCGCCGGGCTGTGGAGGCCTCCCCGCGGGGCGGGAACATCGCAGGCAGGCAGCGGGGCGCCCAGAGCAGCGGGAGGGGATCCGGAGGGTCTGGGGAGAATGGGTTCCACTAGCTGGTGAGCTGCGAGGAGCTCATGTCTCCTGCTGTTCCGAGTGGCGTCGTGTATGGGCTCCCACGGGTTCCAACCAGGCGGCTGCGCGCCCGGCGTCTGTAGGTTAATGTTTGTGCTGTTGCTGGAACGTCCCGCCTGCTGCTCACAATAAAGGCAGATGTGTGACCGTCAAAAAAGAAAAAAAAGAAAGAAAACAGAGTAAGATGCTCTGGGTCCTCAAGGAGTTTAAACATGCTGGGGCCGGGGGACAGCTTCAGTAGATGTAAGGAACTTAGGGGGTCCCGAGGCCCGCCTGGCAGGGGTGTGAGGAGGGGGCAGGGAGGACGCCCCGGAGGAGTGACTGCCGAGCTGATCTTCATAAGGAAAGGAGGAGTGGCCAGTTCAGGCAGAGGGTTCAACCTGAGAAGGTCAAGAAGCCAGACACAGAAAAGTAGACATGATAGCACCACAGACAGGTCTCCTGCAGGAGTGTAATGTCTCCTGCAGGGAGGGCGGGAGACGACGGAGGAGATGGGGCTGAGGTGACATCCCTCTGACAGCCCGGGAGCCCTCGGGGGATTTGCATGTTTCTCTTTTATTAGATTAGATCATGGTGTGTTTTTTCTTGCCATCATTAACCATAGTAACTGTTGCTTATGTATTAAAGTTCTATTCCTGCTAAGTCTAGAAGCAGCCTCAGAATCCTTCTCACCATTCATCTTAAGTCTGATGTTTAGTTGATCAGAATTAATATCTGAGGTGAAGCCTCTTACTGCAGATGTATCCCAGAATGTGTGGCATCCTCTCTGCTTTGTGATCCAGCTAATAATACATTGCCTCAATCATGTTGATTGCGGTCATTTTCCCCTTGCAGTTTCTAATAGATTACCATCTACTGCTTAGGCAGTAAAATTGACTGTCTCCATGTAGATCGAAAAATAAGGCATTTTTCTCATCAATAAAATTTCATTCTTTCAGCATGAGTAATTTTGTCAACAACGTTTTGAGGCAGTAACAGTTTATAACAAATTGAGTGAATTATTGTTTCAGGTACTGTGCTGTGTCATACACAGATTTCATTGTATCTTTGCAACAACTCCATACAGTAGGTACTATAATGACACAGATGAGAACACTGAGGTATAGAGAGATCAGGTAACTTGACCAGTAAAACCCAAAAGTGGCTGAGTCTCATTTCAAACCCATGAGCCTTGGCATTTAACCCTTGCACTCCACTCAGTATTGTGCTAGAGCCTGCTCTTACTGGCTCACAAATTTTCAGGAATTTTGTAAGCTGGTTGTTAAACATGTTCATTATTAAAAATTAAATTATATAATCTTTTTTTTAATGTATTTTATTGATTTTTCACAGAGAGGAAGGGAGAGGGATAGAGAGCTAGAAACATCGATGGGAAAGAAACATCGATCAGCTGCCTCCTGCACATCTCCCACTGGGGATGTGCCCGCAACCCAGGTACATGCCCTTGACCTGAATCGAACCTGGGACCTCTCAGTCCGCAGGCCGACGCTCTATCCACTGAGCCAAACCGGTTTCGGCTAAATTATATAATCTTAAAAGTGAATAAATTACATTAAAACCAAAGGAAATACATTCTCTAAATTCATCACTCCCCAATTATTTACTACACTTTACTGTTCTGACTCCTGACATTATTTATATCTTTTGGGTCTTTCTGGTAGAATATAATAGTGTATTACTGCATCTTTCTCCTCAGCTCTGCATTTAGTGGCATCACATTAGCCTTGGATGGAGAATTTATGCCACAGAAATTTGCCGACAGTAGAAATCGGAGTTTTGTTTTCTTTGATTGAGAGCCAGTTGTTAAGCATTTATCAGCACAACACTGACCACATTGGTGGTGGTGGTGGTCTTGTCAGGATGTGTTATATATGCAGATGAAAATCTACTTAAACAGATTTGATGTAGATATTTTCAAAGATGGAAGAATTGTCCCTGTCAACTATGTTAATTGATTCATATCTTCACTAATTGTCATCATTGCAAAGTTTTCAGTCCCCATATGGATTGCTGGATGTAATAGGTCATGCCCTGTCCATGTCCCCCTCCCTTTGTAGCCTTTGTGACCTTAAGGACTCTAGTTTTCCATTTATATGTTTAAGTACCAACCTTACCATCTTAAAAATGTAAGCTTTTAGCACTGCTCTCTCTGTTCCATATCCTTTCAATGAAAAGTAGAGTTGGGTTGCAGCACAGGAGAGAAATTCAGAAGGGGAATGTTGAAGTAATGACTGCAGTAGGAGAAGAGGGAACCTATTTCCCTGGCCACAGGCGCTGGCACCCTGGACCACAAGGCTGGCAGCTTCTCCGGGTGGCTGCAGCCTGGGTCCTCGGGGCAGGTAACTTGTCCGTCTCCTGGGCCGCAGCCTGCTGCAGGCCCTAGTGTCTGGACCACAGAGGGGTGGCTTCTCTGTGTCCCCTGTGATGCAGTGTGGGCGGCTTCTCCGGCTGGCTGCGGCCTGGGATCACAGGCAGGCAGCTTCTCCAGCCGGCTGCAGACTGGGATCATGGGCAGGTGGCTTCTCTGGCCAGTTGCAGATTGGGATCACGGGGCAGGTGGCTTCTTCGTCTCCCAGGCCAGCCAGCCTCAGGTGCTGGAGCCGGACTTCTCTGTCTCCCCTGACTTCTGCGTCTCCAATAGGCCTGGAGCGGCCAGAGCCGGGATGCTTGCATGGTAGCTGTGGCTGCAACGCAAGTATCCCGGCTCTGGCCTCCGCCATCTTTGTTGGGTTAATGTGCATATCTCTGGATGGGTTGGTGGGCGTGGCTTGGGTGTAGCAAAGGTACGGTCAATTTGAATGTTTGTCTATTATTAGGTAAGATGGGTTATGATATGAATTAAGGTCTGATCCCAAAATCCATACTCTTTCCATGTGGCATGGTGCTAGTATCTGTGCTGCATTTATTCATTGGGCGAATGTTTGACAGGTGTCTGCTGTGTGGGTTCCAGCTGTCATCTGGATACATTGTTCCTCTCTAGCGGCTCTCCTTCCTGGCTGGTGAGCCTTGCTGTCCTGGTTCTCTGAGCAGATACTCATTAGTCTTCTGGGCTGATTCTGATTCTTTCTGTCTTCTGAACCATTGCTACCTGCCTTGTTTGCATTTGACATGTGGTGACCTCACTAAGGTGTCCACGGAGCCAGATTTCCAGTCGGGCTGCTCGGTCCTGTTTGGCCCCCAGTCCTGGCACAGACACTTGTTTGAAGTGCCCCAGCTACACTAGCTCCTTCCCTTTGCCCCTTGCAACCTGGTTCCAATCTTCTTCTCTGAACTCAGCAGGGCTCCGGCGGCCTGTCGAGTCAATGGGCTTCCTCCCACGCCAATTCTTTCTCACCAGTTTCCATGATGTTACACTTTCCTGGTTTCCGCCTTCCTTTCTAACAGCTCTTTTCTCTTTTCCTTTGATCGGATTCCCCTTTCTTCCTAAGCCTATGGGTTACGAAAAATTGTACGCTTTTCTCTAAGACTTAGTTTCAACCTCCCTACTGCCTTCTGTGTTTCTAACAGTTCACCCATTCTCAAGGCTCTAGTAAAGTGTAGACACAGCCAGCATTTTAACATCACGGTTTACAGCCCACCTTTACATTCCTAGTTTCAGTTCTCTTCCTCACTCTAGTACATGAGTGTCTCCAAAATCTACAACCCCAGTTCCAGGGGCTCTTGCTATCCTTAGTAGTTTCTTCTGATGCCTGTTCAGGTTAAATCTCATTCTGTTCCTTTTTCTGGAAGCCCAGGCACATCCCAGCCTTTCCCCACGGAACCTGGGACAGCACTGCACTGTGCATTCACATGGCCGTCTCTCTCCACGGGCTCTTCTCCCAGTGCCCACATAGGTCTGGCCATGATGTGTGCTGAGTCGCCTATGAGTAATTGAAGAGCTTTCCCGATTTTCTGATCCTGAATTCTAAGTCACTTTGAATTCTCCTGTAAATCTTGTTAGTCCTCAGAGGGAAGGCAGGGGAGGGTGGGTGGGAAGAGACCAGCCAATGAACTTGTATGCACATATGCATAACCCGTGGACATGGACAACGGGGTGATGAGGGCCTGGGGGTGGGGGAGCAGGGGAGACGAGAGCAGCTGGAAGAGGGTAATGGGGGGAAGGAGGACCTATGTAATACTCCCAACAATAAAGATTTTTAAAATAAACCCTGTCTGCCACCAAGTCGTATTGGCTCGTTACGTTGTGGCTCTCAGTGTCCCTTCTCTTCTGCTGCTGTCACTACACTCACTCAGACGCTTGCACTTTCTTTCTTTCTTTCTTTTTTTAAGTTGTGAGCAGTCACCTGACTTATAAAAAGATGTAACAAAATTTTAAATGATACAAACTATCATTTTCAAAAACCACCAAAAAGTGAGTGTATTTAACTGTTCTCAGCTCATAACAGCAAATGTGTGAGTGGAGCAATAACGCATGTTGTAGCATGTTTACTAAACCTGCAACAGAGAAAGCTGGTTAAAGGAAAGCAGAGAAACTTTGTCTTTTAAGTATTAGAACCTGGGGCTCCATAATCGTCTGCATCCGCTCAGTGTTGCACCTGTGGTTAGACATGACATGATGGGAACTCCAGGGATCTTCCTGATTCTCCGTTTAAGGTCCCCGTCAACTGTGGCCACAATATAACATTCGTGCTGAGTTACTCTCTGTACCGAGCAGTCATCTGCATAGGTTCCTGTGTGTGTGCACGGTAATCGTTCAGAGCTTGGATCCTTGGCGATCCTTAGAGCCACTCGATACTTCCGCCCCAATTTCTCAGTTTCAACCATTACACAGTCAGTTATACAAGGGATACACTTGGCATAGAGACATCCATCATTGGCTGCACTGAGTCCAGTTTGGCCTTAATGGAAACGTTGATAAAGTTGGTATCCACCTGGATGTGGTAAGGTGGGCCCAGCTGTGCGTTATTCGGAAGAATACGCAGGAGGGGTGTTGGGGGACTTCTCTTTCTTTGAGTGCACTGGGATCTTTCTTTTCTTTCTTTTCAGGTTTTAATCTAGCCTTTTCTTGAAGCCTCTGATCTCTGAGACAAAGCATTCGCTTCATGGTCACATGCTTCCTGTCTTCTTTTGCTTCCCATGTTCACGCTGCACTCCTGTTTCTTCCGGAGTCACCCTCTTGCACTTCCTACAGTGACAATATCCCCTTCTTGGTCCCCCTGTTCTGACTCTCTCTTGTCAGATAAGTCCTATGTTTCCCCAGTGAGAATAATCTAAAAATGTTATTTCTATGAGGATCAGGTTTAAATTCCTTATTCTGATACATCTCTTGCAACTTCCTCATCATAAAACAGCATTCTTTCATCATTGTTCTCTTATCACCAGATGCCAGATAGACCCATCTTTCCCTCCTCCTTTCCTTCCACCATTTGTCTAACTTTTACCCTTTTTAAAAAATTTGTTCTTATTGATTTTTTTCTAAATATATTTTCATTGATTTCAGAGAGGCAGGGAGAGGAAGAGAGAGACAGAAGCATCAATGAGAGAAAATCATTGATCGGCTGCCTCCTACATATCCCACAATGGGGACTGAGCCCACAACCTGGGCATGTGCCAACTGGGAATTGAACCGTGGCCTCCTGGTTCACAGGTCAACACTCAACCACTAGCCACCATTATTGACTTTTTATAGAGAGAGGAAGGGAGAGAGGGAAATAGAAACATCAAGCGCTTGCCTCCCATCCATACCCTGACCGGGACCAAACTTGCAACCTGAGATTTACTCTTTTTTTTTTTTTTAATATATTTTATTGATTTTTTACAGAGAGGAAGGGAGAGAGATAGCTAGAAACATCGATCAGCTGCCTCCTGCACATCTCCTGGAGATGTGCCCGCAACCAAGGTACATGCCCCCGACCGGAATCGAACCCAGGACCTGTCAGTCCGCAGGCTGACGCTCTATCCACTGAGCCAAACCGGTTTCGGCGATTTACTCTTCTT